ACCACCATTCTACTCCCCATTACTGGCACCATAACCGCGAGTTTTCTAAGATAAGATACTGGGATACATAGCACGGATGAAACATTGGAAGGATGGGGGCGGTAAGAGGATGAGATAAAAGGCGGTGTAACATGGTCTTTAAAAAATGTATACTCTTCTATATTAAATGTGCAGTGTTTCTTCGTCATATTCAAGGGGTTAGCTGTTACCCCAAGTAGTTTAATCTAGGTGAATCAACATTGATTCAACGTTTAATGACAACGCACCTGTTGTTGAAACAATATTGGCCTGTCAGCGTTAATTTCATTTTGAAAGTTCATTTTTATCGACCATGAGGCAACGTTGACAGTATATCAACATTGAGTCAATATTCAAGAGTAACATTGCCAACATTGGCTCAATATTCATTTATCAACGTTAACTCTATATAGGAAATTAATTTTTTCAGCCTTAAAGCAAGATTAAATCAACAATGGTTCAGTGCTCAGAGAGGTCTCAACAGGCTTTTTAATTCTTGCGCATGTGCCATTTTATTGCTGAAGTGCTATGTGAATATATATCGATACGATCTCAATCCTTCGAAGTCGTTTTTAAAGATCCCCCTCTCTTAAGCTCAACTTGAACTCTATGCCGAGATAAGAGATATAGGCATCCCGGTTCCGCTGAAGGGGGAGGAAACTCGGGTGATTGAAGATAATGGAATGCTGACATTAACGGCACGTTTCCTCCGCGCGAACTGCTGGATCAAGGATTAAAAATGTTTTTTTAGGTGTAAGGTGGATGAGCTCTCATAAAGTGACATGACCGCGTTTACTTTATTGTCTCGATTACCCTGCTCAGACAATCGCAATACCCTGGATTTTGTTTGGTTGGGTTGCCTCCTGCGTCGAATATATCTAGGAAGTGAAATGTTTTCCCCGGAGACGTCTGGGGAGAAAACATAAAGTACCGTTCCAAAAGAACTGGGGACGCGTGCCGATTGCATATGTACGATAACTCGCTGCGTTGGCTATTCGTCGCCATCTCGCTTTGGAGTCAGGGTATCTTGTTTGTTCAAATGTCTCGCCAGATGTCTCGCCCGAAATTTGTTGATGTAACGCTGAATGGACAAAAGTCTCACAATATTGTTACTTTCAAGCTGGATTTAACGTTGAATCGATGTTGATATCAACTTCGTTCCCTCACTGAAATGTCATTTTAATTAACCTGTATTCATGGTACAATGTTTTAACGTGAGGCTGCCTTATCTTGAGAAAATCTCTTTCGATATGTGGCCAATGAATTTACCATACACGGGTATTGTTGTTAAGCAAATATATATATATTTAAGTAATAAACACTGTGTATGATGACCACACCATCAACAGGTTCCCAGGTCTACTTCCGCTTCATTAGTAAGGGAAACAAAAACCATTATCATCAGCCAGTTTCTTTATTTTTTTTCGAACTTCATCGCTGCAATAGAACCTTGTCGAACAATAAGACCGACCCTCTGGGCTATAATTAGGCTATAATTAACACTTGCTTGGTGAATCTCGCTTTTTGACTAATATGTTACGTCAGTAACGATGGAAAACTCTCCCAGCCAATTCGTTATTGAGCAAAAAAAAATGCATTTAGCAAGAAGAAAGGTGATTGTTTATGCCTTTTTTTCTGTAAATATGGAAGTTTCAGATAAAGCCAAATCATACAATTTGGAAGGGAAGCAGCAGAACGAAAACCGTAGTCTAAACTGTGTTATGTCAGCAATATGACACGGCCTTCCTTTTTTCATCCATTGGAGATATGAGACAATTTTGACCTGAATAGGTACAGATATCTATGCTCTATGAGACAAAGTTGAAATAAAATTTCTTGACCAAACCATCTTCAAGATATAGCCTAATACATTATTTCATTTCTGGTGTTACGTCAATTACTTTGGAACTGCCCATTGTGCACACATTAAGCAATCTTCCACGGTGTGCACAACAACGAGGGATTTGTACTTGTAAATGAATCCAATGAATCAATGTTAATTTTCATGTGGATACTTCCACTGTAAATACAGCAGCATTGAATCCACGCAGACTCACTGTGGATGCATAAACCAGTGACCGTCGTCGCATTGAATCAATGTTGATGTAACGTGGGGGTATAAACCGTCAATATTGAAGATAATAATTGCAATTGAACCATGCATATTGGTTGGATACTATATGTTTTTCTTTATTTTCTCCCTTTCACCACTTGAAAAAAAAAATTGATTTTTTTTAAAATCTCGAGAATCACGATGATGTAAATAGACGCAAAATAATGTCCATCTGGTATTACAAGAAACTAAACTACTGCCGATTCGGCGTCAGGTGAAAACAAGAAGAAAACCGCAGATATTACTATTGAATAATATTTTAGGCATTTTATCATCGTGAGATAATCCCAAAGAAACACAAACCATTTACGGAATTCACCTGTTAGAACAGACGGAATGAATGATGTTGATGCCCTCATTGGAAATGAATAGCCGTTTGCACCGTATCCTGGTTGAAGGCTTCCGTCGGTTGCCACATACTTAATATCGAGTGTGACGTTCTGAATGGCCTCCCAAACTTCAACCTACGTCAAAAAGAAATGTTTTAAAATATTAATTGGACTTGAACGCCCAGAAAAATATAATGAACAGTACATTGTAAATGACTCACATCCACGGAGACTTCCTTCGAGGAAATGGGGTTAGAGACGTTGACCGTCACATGATACGTTGCGTTTCTGCTTCCAGATCCAGCAGTCTGAAAAGATTTCGTCATTTCCAATGCAGTTGAATTCACAACTTGGTTCGATTGATTCCCATCGCCAAAGTTCCAAGTAGCCGTCGCCTTTGTTGGTAGGGTGGAACTGGAGCAGGTCAGCTCAAACATAACATTTCCTGCAAAAGAATTCCAACATTCAATTCATACTACCCTCCAAAATTCTTCTAACACTTTTTCGAGGCAGAAATTTGCAGCATCTATAGCAAAATCTGAAAAAAAAATCAATAGGCGCGGTAGCGCCTATTACCTTTCTTCAACCACTTCCCATAACAAAATTACATCTCCTTGTATTCTTCTTTGAGAGCATCAACAGGAATGAAATTGGACGTGTTTCATACTCTCTCAACACAGAATCACTCCAGTAAATTTGAGGATCTATCTCTCAGGGGTTATGGAGAACACTGAATTTCGCTTTCGGAATTTATGAATTTAATTCTTTTCTTTTATCTCCCCCTTTCCTCCTGGGTAGCCACTCCTGAAAGGGTTTCAGAGAAAAAAGACATACCATAAGAAAGATATTGACTCGTAGATGACGAAAAGTGCCCCTTTTTGTTGTTTGTGATGCACCATTTCGCCATAAAAACGAAATTAGCTGTCGCTCATTTAAGCGAAGAGGTTTAGGCTCCAGTCACTTCTCCAAGTGTTGCCGGATGTCGCGCCGAAATTATGCCAGATTCAAGACTAAATGAACCTTCGAATCGGCGTCTGGATCTTCTGTTTTTTAATACACGAGTCATTTTTGTGGTGAGTTCATGAGATGAGCTAAGTGGTCATTAGCTTTTCAGTTACCTTTACAAAGTGTCCATTCATGACATGGTTTGTCCCACCTACCTGGATTCGCCTCAGAATCCGTCTGGTTCGCTTTTTCAGCGTGGAACAATAGAATCGCTCCTCAACCGATTGTTGGAAGACACATCACACTTACCCCTAGTACAGGGTGAGTTAAAAGTCACTGGACGATTTTGAACAGCTGTAACTCAACAAGGAAAGCATTCATTTGCAAGCGGATTTTCGCATATGAAAGAACGCGCGGTAATTAAGGAAGCAATGTGGAATTTTGCATAAATTACAAATAAGAAATAGGGTGAGCATGCACAAAACAAAAGCAACATGTTTACATAACAACATAAAAGTGATATTAAAGGTAAAACGGACGCCCTATTCGCAACTATTTCCTGCTAATTTTTGCTGCTCCAAATGGTTTTCTGATAATGCCATTGAACTTTCTTTGGAGTAATGTGCCGCCTTCGTTAATTTCTTCTTTATCTGTGAAGGAAATCTTTCCAAAGTGAAGTGTCGTTTTGCTTTGAAGACGGGTGGATAGGCCGTGTCGAGCCTGTCGAGTGGCCTTCCGGGTAGCCGGACCCGACTCCATTCGACTTTTGGCTGTGGGGTTTCATTTAAAGACCAGGTATATGCCGGAAATTTGCGCGCAATCGTTGACCTGAAGCAACACGTCACTGAGAAGAATGTTGGAGTTGCCTTTCTGTGACAGCTCGCGTGATCGAGCTAGATGGCGCTCGATATCATGGCCAGTAATCAGTCATTTTTACGCCAAATAGATCAATATTTTTTTTTAGCGTTGCATGTTTACTAATAACTGCACGCTCTTTCCTATGCAAATAACCGTTTGCAAATTAATGTCTTCCTTGCCGAGTTATAGTTGTTCAAAGGCGTTCAGTGACTTTTAGCTCACCATGTAGCTTCCCCATAGTGACACATGGGAAATGGAAAAAATTGAAACTTGAGTACGTGTCCAGGTACAGGTCTGCCATTCCAATGGCCCCGATAACTTCGGAAATATCTTCTTCATTGCATCCTAACCATCCAACCTTGAAAAAAAAAACTGCCATTGGTAGGTCTACATATTAAAAAACAGGCTCGGACAACTAGCCATGCTTTCGATTACGAATACAATCCTGTCAACGCCGCCAGTCGCTCTCTATCATTGCCTAAAATGGATCCGTCAACCGCAAGGGCTGGAAGGGAAGTGGTGGCTTTAGCGGAAGACGGGCACCCCGGCCCAGGCAGAAAGCTGCGCGTGCGCAGTGGGTCGTGTTGCCCGATTGCTATGGATACTGTGGACAGCCGGAATGAAAGAAAAGTCAGTACCAGCCAAGTACAGATCTGGCATTCCACTGGCCTGTGCACCACTGGATTTATTATACTGTATACTAGCGAGTTTGTTTGCAATTCGGGCGAACAAACCCACTATGGTCGCGCCTTCGGCGCTCCATTATCTACAGTAGAATAATGATTAAATCATTAATTCATTTTCAAAGTGGCAAAACATGCCGAGATTTTGATCGAAATCATTACTCCGATGATTTCTTGTGTGCCTAACAGCAAATCTTTTAATGTGCCCCTTTTTGTCAGAGTGGAGAATAATCATTGTAATATATCCCTCTTCTAACCCGCCCTAAGGGGACATACTGTATATGTTGGTTTATAAACCCCCCCCCCCCCCACCGTTTTCAAGGTGAGAAATACGATTCGCGTATTCCAGTAAAAAAAAAAATATATTATTCATTAACATTAGAGAGTTTTTTTTAACCACCCTATATTTCAAAAGTAGGATTTTTTCTTTACTCAGCTACCCATCAGGTACTCCTGCGACAAGTTTCAACCTTATACGTTTGCGTCTTTCGCTGGCGAAAAAAATATGTTTGGAAAAGCCAACCCATCCAAAAGTTACGCCCTGCGCCACAAAAGCTGCGTTTCCCCTGAAATCAACATTATGTCAGTTATGCGTCTGCCAAAGGAGGATGCCCAATATAATGTAATTTTATACATGATATTGGGCATCCCCATGGGCCCTTATACCGAATCCAATGAATCATATATAATTTCAGATGGCGTATTTTGCAGAGCAATAAAACACCACTTTTACTCCAATCTGAAGGATTTGAAAATGTTAGGTTAGGTTAGGTTACAATGAAGTTATATTGTATGAGTTTTTCATCATAACACATACTTTCAACAGTTTTCAGGGAAGGGAAATGCAGACTATTATTTCCCCATAGTACCTATGGGAATGCAGATAAGGAGTGGAATAGGCGCTGGTTTCGTTTGTAAGATTTTTCCATCACTCCATAAGTCAGTCTCATCGCTCCTCACCTCTCTATCCTCACCTATCTATTGCTCTTCTATGAAAAAACTGGACCGGATTCATCAGCAATGATCGCCCTTATCCCCATGTCTGGTTTCATGGCATATGATCAGGTTTACTATGCCCATGCCTAACATGAATGTAGCTCCAAAGAGGACTACTCTAAAATGCCATAAAATTTACCCAAACAGCATGTTTATGTTAATTTTACGTAAAATGAATGTAAACTTTTTGTCCATTTTATATCCTTTTAACGCAAATCATTGTCAAGAAAATGTCAACATTTTTGCAGAAATGTCACCTCTGTGATATGTAAACGGTGATATAAAATTAACGTAAATTTGACGTAAAATTGACATTCCCGTTTGCATTCCAAACAGCATGTTCACATTCATTTTACGTAAGATTTACGTTAATTTCCCCCTGGCATTCATGCATATTTAAAGAGTCCATCACATCCATTGAAGAGATTTGATAAACTGAACCTTCTATTCCTTTACGTTCTTCAGAACTCCAGGGTGGTTGGACGAGTCAGGAGTCAGGAGTATTTTTGTTTTGTTTTTTTTTTTTGTTTTTTTTTTTTTTTTTTTTTTTTTTTGTTTTTTATTTTTTTTTTTTTTTTTTTTTTTTTTTTTTTTTTTTTTTTTTTTTTTTTTTTTTTTTTTTTTTTTTTTTTTTTTTTTTTTTTTTTTTTTTTTTTTTTTTTTTTTTTTTTTTTTTTTTTTTTTTTTTTTTTTTTTTTTTTTTTTTTTTTTTTTTTTTTTTTTTTTTTTTTTTTTTTTTTTTTTTTTTTTTTTTTTTTTTTTTTTTTTTTTTTTTTTTTTTTTTTTTTTTTTTTTTTTTTTTTTTTTTTTTTTTTTTTTTTTTTTTTTTTTTTTTTTTTTTTTTTTTTTTTTTTTTTTTTTTTTTTTTTTTTTTTTTTTTTTTTTTTTTTTTTTTTTTTTTTTTTTTTTTTTTTTTTTTTTTTTTTTTTTTTTTTTTTTTTTTTTTTTTTTTTTTTTTTTTTTTTTTTTTTTTTTTTTTTTTTTTTTTTTTTTTTTTTTTTTTTTTTTTTTTTTTTTTTTTTTTTTTTTTTTTTTTTTTTTTTTTTTTTTTTTTTTTTTTTTTTTTTTTTTTTTTTTTTTTTTTTTTTTTTTTTTTTTTTTTTTTTTTTTTTTTTTTTTTTTTTTTTTTTTTTTTTTTTTTTTTTTTTTTTTTTTTTTTTTTTTTTTTTTTTTTTTTTTTTTTTTTTTTTTTTTTTTTTTTTTTTTTTTTTTTTTTTTTTTTTTTTTTTTTTTTTTTTTTTTTTTTTTTTTTTTTTTTTTTTTTTTTTTTTTTTTTTTTTTTTTTTTTTTTTTTTTTTTTTTTTTTTTTTTTTTTTTTTTTTTTTTTTTTTTTTTTTTTTTTTTTTTTTTTTTTTTTTTTTTTTTTTTTTTTTTTTTTTTTTTTTTTTTTTTNCCCTGGGATACTCGTGAGACTTACCGGCCTGTAATTTCCTGAGTGCACGAGTACTCATCCTCACCAGCACCTAAGAGTACCAAAGTGACCTACTGCTTCCTCCTCCCGTACCGGAACCTCGGGAGGAGGAGTAGTTGTTCAAAGGAGCTCTTTTCCTTTTAGGATAGAGAAGATTTAGTATTTGTGTGGCTTGTATAAAAAACTTGTATACGTTTCTCTTACAGGAGCCATTTCAATTATCACACATTTGGCCATACCCCATTAGGAGTGAGCATGATATTTAACAGGGAAAATGAGATCATCATGTAATAGTGTTTGGGCCATGATGAAGTGGTAATCACATTTTATTTTAAAGAATGTAAACCGCATTTATTTGCAGAAATAGTTTTTTTCCTATCAACAAATGTGCCCCACTTGCTCTCTCCATCGAAAAAATATGGAAGAAACATACCGTTTAAATATAAGAACAGACATTGACTTGGGGACTTGATTCATAATAGAATTAGCTTTTATTTATTATCTTTTATTTGCTAACAAAGCTACCTCTACCATTTGCATTTATTTTTAGGGTCAGAATTGCATGCATTTTCTACTGTTAGAAAAAGTTTCTTTTAGTGATCACTTTTAACCCCACCCTCTTGCAGCCAGTTAAACAAATTTCATTAATCGGAATCATGAAAATCTCCAAGTACCTGTTCATTGACTGGAATAGGTGTGTCAAACTGACAGCAGCGTTGCAAGTTCGTTGACCATTCTATCATACAAGCTACAATGGATGCTTATAAATGATTCAGATGTAGCCTAATTTCGAGACCCAGTGCGGATAGAAACCTCTAGCAAGAAATGGCTTCAGCTTCAGGGACTTAGTTGAGCTTTTAAGTCTTTGAGTGAAGCCTTTTAGTAAACAAGACGTGCAGACTGGAGGAAGTCAAATCCGAGGGATCACACTTACCCCGACGCCCAATTTTACGGGGTAAGTGTGATCAGTCTTCCTGTGCCCAAGCTTAGCATGAATGGAACTCCGAAAGGCACTTGTTGGAAAGAGCATTTAAATCTACTTTGCCATGATGCAAAAAATGAATATTTGTTCTCCAGTACTGACCATATAGAGAAAGTTAAATTACGTGCACCGCATTAAGTACTAGAGTTGAAAGAGGGTACTCTCATATTCAATGACATATCCCTCACTTGATCCCATGAAATTTGACGAGATGTACTAACCCAGATTAGCATGACATAGCGTTTCTTTGTGCATACTTCGTTGATGGCACATTGCACTTTTAAGTACCAAAAATTAGGACTGATCACACTTACCCCGAATGACCTTACTCGTATAGAAGAAGCCTAGATTACTTTAAATCTAAGAGAAGAACTTGTCCTTTGGGCAAAGTCAAGATAAATTTAGCTGTTATTTCCCACTTACATGAATAACATTATTAATCAGTTCTCACTAAAATGTCCACTTTTCGTTCAGATAAATATAATACAATTCATCTAATTGGAAATTTGAGGCGTAAACGAGGTTCATGATTCGATTGCATGAAATTTGTCCTATAGCTATAGGAAAAGACCAAGGTATTGCCTGCGAATATTCCTAAGATTTATTGTTCGTCATTTCTCTTAAGCGATCCCCTAACCTACTAATTCCGTATCATACTTACCAGGGGGGACGAGGACGATGCCGCTAGTGAGACCACTCGAGACACTGAGATTCCAGTTGTTTTGAACAGGATCCAGAATTTCGATCTCCACTGAAGCAGTCTGAAAGTTGGCCACTCCGATCAGAGCACCCTGGGCATTTCTCACTTCCACGGTCACATTCTTCTTTCCAATCAAGGTGTAGGAATGATTGAACTTGTACAACTGGGCAGGATCGACCATCTCAACTAGTTTTTGTTTTCGAAAAGATCAAGATGCATTTATGTGAACGCTCCTGAATGATATTTTGCAATTATTGCAGTGTGAAATTAGATTACAGAAAAGAACTGTCAATTTTAATTGTGGTGCTTGAGTTCGTACAAGTTTAGCTCTGTAGCATGGAAAAATATATATTTTTTTAAAGAAGTTCTTTGCATTTTTTAGGTTTTTGTCAGCAGAATTTCTATGGGTTTTCATGGAATTTGCGTTAATCTAAAATAAATATTCAGAAACGATTCAATGGTTGGACGAAACAGCTTCAAAATCCTGATATACTTTTGCAAGGTAGTGCATCTTCGTAATGTTCTAAGATGCAAATATATACTCGTTGTACCGAGTCAAAACTGCAAAGGTTTTCATTTCTTCGATATATTGGGCAGATTTGCCGGCTCTCAACCACATGGTTCAAAATAGGGTTACCGTATACTGCCAAAGCGTATGGGAAACTTCCTGCTTTCAAGACAAACTGGTTCTACAGTTACATATTTGCGGCGACTTTGGTCCTAAACATCCTTTTTGGGGAATATTGATGGCAGGTGGCGAACGCTATTTGATTGGTAGATTGCCGACCTCAGTTTTGAATTTTTATTTAAGAAAATAGAGACTTAGTTCAGTTGCAGTCAAACAGTTGAGAAATGGAGGTAAGCGCAGATGATATACGAACGTTTGGAAGAAAATGGCTAGGGAACCATAGAGGAAAAAGCCTGGGTTTCACTTTGCTTTTTCCGAGGAATAATTCCTCTCTTATTCCAATCGGTTAGCGACAGGCTAGATATTTACTGGGGAAAACACTATTTTCCAACTATAAAAGTAGGGAAGTCTAACCAAACCCTGCTAAGATCGTGCCATGACTTACTCGTGGTCTCCAGAACGGATGCTACCCCGTCATCCCAGAAGATGTAGATGAGAGCTGGAGCACCAGAATCCATCTTTATGCTCACTTCTATCTCTTCTCCCGAAGCAAACATTGAATCTGCCGTTGGACTGATGATCTGTTAGTACAGTATAAAATAAAGTTAGTGTCACCTTCGATGAGTTAGCAAGAAACTAGATGTGCTTATTCATTTTAATGAAAGTATTCATCATCACGGGATCTGTTGGCTGAAATAAGAGTTTAAAGACGCGGTCAGACTTATACTCATTTGTGACAGCTCATATATATGAGTGTATTTACTATGGGGAGATTATAAAAAGACTGAGAAAAAGTGTTCATGAACACCAGTTCTTCACCGTGTTCAGTTTCTTTCTGCACTCTGCATCCTGACCATGACAGTGGGGAACTCAGAAAGTGATTAGTGACAGCTGGAGCTTCTCTGCTATTGGTAAGATTTCTATCATCAGGCTTTTACCCGAAAATAGCTATCAAAGAGGCGCGAGAAAGTCAACATTTTCAGCTTTGAGAAGGGGTCAACCTTGCTGTTTGCCCATGAAGGATTTTATCAGCTTCAATTATGTTATCCCCCCCTGGTGCCACAGGAAGGGCCGCCACGTTGACTGAGTGTACCATTCAGCGACCATGTTTCCTTACGATCAAAGAGGTTTGAGACGTTGTGAGTTGCCATACTACTTACATACCTTACAGCCTATGAGTTCAGTCTATGACTCGTTCATAAATCTAAATGTCACTAACTCATAGCACAAACCTAGTGTGAGAGCAGTCACAGTTGAGTATAGGCCTACTAATATCATTTGATCAAGACAAACAATTTTCGCATTTCTCTGGTGAAGTAGAGGAAATGCTAACAAGGTAGAAGTGTTTCACAATTTCTCTCTAACAAGTACTGCTTACAGATATATATTTTAAAAGATATTTGAAAGATGAAATACCATCTTCAAGGAAACGACTGATGCTTGAAATGCTTTGCGAATTCTTTCTAAAGGCAAATTCCTATACCCTCAGCAATACTTGTGGAAGAAGCCAAGCTGGATATGTTCTAACATTTCTGTATTACATAAAACAGGGTGGGCCAAAGAAATAAGTAACTGAAATTGAGTTTTTTTAAACTTCATTTCAGGGCAATATTGGAAAATTATCTGCCTGAATATTCTGTTGAGAAGAGTTTATGGATCATTGAACACTATTTTCGAAGTTAAGAATCAGGCCAAATACAGTTCAAATGTGTATATAAATAAAAAAAATAATCTTTAATTATATTGTCACTTCGGTTACCATATTTTTGGCCCACCATGTAAAACAGGCAATAATATTATTAATAATAGAGATAGGAATCGTAAGAAGCTGCGAAAGAAGGCTTTACTCTTAGGATATACACTGCTTTGAGATTCAGAAAACATTCTCTACACTTGAATCCATGCAAGAAGGAGTAAATTGCTTAATTCCCTGGACTGCGATTTCTTTCAAAGTTTTCAAAGAAAAGCAAGTGTTTTTTATGATCATGAACTTCGGTGAAGCCACGAGTGCGACTTTCAGAAACCAAGCAAGGGAATTTTGAAGCCATGATCCTGGATTGCAGAATAATCCAGTAAGTTAATATGGAGATTACCGTAAGATTGGTGATGGGGATGAAAGGGTCGATGTAAATTTCGTAGAAGGGAGATTCAATCCAACCTTGGATGATATTGTAGACCTCTAGGACAACGCTATAGTTTCCACCCTGGAAGAAATCGAAGCTCATGTTAGGAGCATTGAAATATAAAAATGTCCTTCCTACACTCGAAATGCTTAATATTCCATGAAGTATAGAAATATTCGAGGCCATAGACCACATTGCTTAGCAAACTTATAGTATGATGCTATCTCTGCAATAACTTTCCCAGGCTGGTTGTATGGACGTTTTTCATCACCATGACTTTTTCTTGAAGTAGAAGTAGCACGTCGCATGCTGGCGCTCTTCTGGTGATGGGGACCTACAAGTCCTCCCGCTTGGCTGGGAAATGGCTTTAGGCCTACTCTTCAATTCTCTACGACAATTTCAATACTCCATCACTTGCGATTATTAAATTTTTCACTTGTTCGCCATAAGTAATGTAGCAAATGAAGATGGGAACTAAAGACCTTTTCCTAACCCAAAAAGGCCCATTCATGAGATACAATGCTAAGAAGTGGTTCGTGGTGGGGGACTGGGACCTGTGAGTGATTCAAAAGTACGCTACTCCAATATTTAAATTCACAGGAAGAAAAGCACATGCCCCCAAAATAAACCGATTGCACCAGGGTCGGGAACCTATGGCTCGTGAGCCAAATTTGGCTCACAAGCTGAAAAGTTTGGCTCATTGAGTCATGGCTGAAAATCATGGTTATTCCTCATTTTTCTCATGTATCAAAGAATGCATATTTAAGTAGCACATAACATTGATATTCAACGTTGAATTGGTGTGGATTAAATGTATCACTGTTGAAAGTTTATACTTATATGTTGAATCAACATTGACTCGACGCAGTGACCGTCACTGTTTAAGCACCTACATTGGCTGAGCATTTATTTAATGCTGCACTATTCATGGTGGAAGTGTCACAAAGTGTCATCGGTTCACACAGGTGTGAACACAGAAATAAATAATTATCATTATTTGATTCAATCATTATCCAGACGTTGAATCAGCATTGATTAAATGCTGATTCAACATCTGGATAATGATTCATTGTTATGTAGTACTATGATAAGCGATGATGTCATGGGACCTCATAGCCTCCTTAAAATAAAAATTTTTTTGAAAAAAAACACTTTTGTTCATTAATAAGGTACATGCTTAAATTGAACATGTCTTCAAGTCAATCGATTAATCAGCATAAAAATTAATGAATTTTATTGAATCTCCTTTTTCTAAATTTATGTTTGTATTGAGAAAACTCTACCATATCAAATGCTCACGAGAAATGTCATTTCTTTTTTCTTGTTAGCTGCGATCAAATTCTGACCAGGTGTGATATTGGCCACCTTCTCCTCTGCCATAAGTGGAGCATTTTTCTTGATCGAAATGCGTTCTGGCCGATGGGCTAAACTATTTAACGAATCCTGATGGAGTACACATAAATATCCTAACGGTAGCCATAGAACACAAGGGATTTTTTACTGCAAAAGAATCCATTGAATCGAGGCTGATTTAATCTTGACACTTCCACTGAGTATAGTGCAGCATTGAATCCATGTTTAGTCAATGTGGGTGTATAAATGGTAACGGTCGCCGCGTTGAATCAATGTTGATTCAACATAGAGGTATGAACCTTCTACAGTGACACACTCAATCCACACCAAATCAACGTTGAATCAATTTTGTGTGCTACCTGGAGAATGAGGGAAGCCTCATCTATCAACCTCACCTTATTAAATCACAGTTATCATCCCGGTGTCCTGCTTCCGAGGGAACAGGATGCCTCTTTCTCATCTTGGTATAAAGTTGTTTTTGGATGGGAGGATCTTTAAAAAGCGGATTCGGAGGATGGAGATCGTGTCCAGATGATATTCAAATAATACTTCAGTCATGAAACGGCGCATGCGCACGAATTAAACAGATTGTTGAGATCTATCACATCAATGTTGAATCATCATGGATTCAACATATTTTCAATATGGAGTCAACGTCAAAAAGAAAATGTTGAATCAACGTTGCAATATAGCTTTTGAACATTGAATCAATGTTGATATACTGTTGATGTCAACGTTGATTCAATCGTTCATAAAAATGAACGTTCTATATAGAATCTATGTTGACAGGCCAATGTGTTTTCAACGTTAGCTCTGTGAACGCAATAACGTTGGTTCAACGTTGATTCACCATGACTGCGCTACCCGGGTACGTCTGTTGCCAACTTCAAAAAAAATTATATTGTTCTAAAAATCATTCACTCATAAGCACTTAGCTCAATCTTAATGGATCCATAACGAAATGCCGAAAAACAAAATTCCGACAGCCTAACTTAACGAATACGCAGAATAGCAAAGGGAAAAAATGCAGAACTGCCTAAATGTCGAATCCCTCAGTTCACAGAAAATTGAATACACCAATTATGACACTGGGCGCATTCAGTTGTTCCGAAGACATGACTGGAGGTTCATGATTCTCGGCAGGTGCGGCGCTTTTCATCAACTATTATTCCCAGGATTGATGACATTGAAATAGAGGTGTCACCAAGGAATAATATTAATTAATATTGAAGCCTCAATGCAAGCGTTGAACTGAAACCCTCGAGTCATGACTCCGGTCACGACTGAATGCGCCAACTATCTCGAAAGAAAATGAATAAAATGCCGAAAACGCAGACGGATAAATGGATGCGAAGTCAAGACCGTCAGACAGGAAGATTCGTATCAGACTGAGATTTCATCATACACCGATGGCGAGACCTGTTTTCTAGCCTCATTTCTTGCGTGATGTGACAGTAGTCTTGCGATTGGAATATGAAACCTGTTTCCCAACAAACTCGCGACAGCATCGCCTCACTCGTCGACCATGGCCTCTCGACGCGTCGAATTGCAGCCCAGCTTGGCATAAGCTATAGCACCGTATCCCGGGTGCGTTCTCAAGTCAGACCCGACGCATCAAAGAGCAATGGTGGGCGTCCCTCCAAGCTTTCCGCCGCCGACAAGCGCAGAGTCATCAGGATGGTGACATCGGGTCAGGTTGACACAGCAGTGCAAGCGACGAGGCAGCTCAAAAGCAGCACCTCGGTAGAATGCAGTGCCAAAACAGTTCGCAGAGCTCTGAAAAAAGCTGGTCTGAGGGCAACAACCAAGCGAAAGAAGCCGCAACTCCAGCCGCGGCATATCCGACAGCGGCTAGAATTCGCCCGCCGCCACCAACACTGGACTGTAGAGGATTGGAAACGCATGATTTGGTAAGACGAGATAAAAATCAACCTTATGAGGTCGGATGGGGGTGATTGGACACGGAAACAGCCCCGCGAAGCCCTAGCAGAGCGGCACGTGAGGGAGACCCGCAAGTATGGTGGAGGTGGCCTGATGTTTTGGGGCTGCATGACAGCCAAAGGAGTCGGGTTTGGCTGTCAAATCCAAGGAAGAATGGATGCCAGGCTCTTTACAAGCATCCTCGAGGAAAAATTGCTCCACACTGGCGCATTACCGCCTCGAAGTGGGAGATGTGGTGTTTCAGCAGGACAATGATCCGAAACACACCTCGCGGCTGGCTCGCCAATGGTTCCAGGACCGTGAAATCGAGGTCCTAGAATGGCCAGCACAGTCGCCAGACTTCAACCCAATAGAGCACTTGTGGCAACATTTGAAGCGGAGGCTGGCGAGGTACGAGAATGAGCCAGCGGGAGCGGCAGCGGGTCAAGACTGAGTGGGACGCCATTCCAGTCCAAACAAGCTTGAATTTGATCGAAAGCATGCCTAGAAGGGTTCAGGCAGTGTTGAAGCACACAAAGTATTAATAAATTCGTTTTTTTGTATGCCTAAGTGAAAGGGACAAAACTGTTGCAATGGCGTCCTTCGCTTTGAACAACTGCCACTTAGACAATAGGAGGCCAATTGACATGTGACTAGCGCCAATCGAAAACCAGGAAGTAGGAGTATGATTGACTGAAATTTCAGCTAAATTGAACACGTCATACTCGAGATATGAGTCAGAAACTGGCAATGTGTCGAACATTGCAACAGTTTTGTCCCAAACTGTATATGGTTGGACAACATATTGGAAATGTCCAGAAGTTGATTGGTGTGAGATCAGTGACGGAAAGAACCAAAAAGAACCCCGATCGTTCATCCTGGTCATGCTCCGTGCACTGGAAGCGAAGTTGTGCGTGATACATATGAAACATGTTATGTAATATCCTATTTGAGGGCCATCGCTCACAATGTGCGACTCTTGATTTGCAGAATGGCAATTAGATTTCTTGATCCCATTTGCACATTTGTTTTTTAACTCAAAGTTTGTGACATGAGATGATTATATTTTTGGAAAGTAGATTACAACTTACCAATTAAGACAGGGTAATACAATGTCTCATCGGCGTATTTAGCATACGGCATTTTGTCGTTCTTCACTTTAGCTCTTAGGCATTTCGAGCATTCCACATACGAGGGATGTTTACAAAATTCTGGGAATTTACGGGCTAATTTTTTTATTAGGCTAATTTTCTTCGATATTGCCGTGCAATGTTTCAACATAATCACCATTTAGCTGTATACAGTTGTGCCAGCGAGTAACTAATATTTTTAGTCTATCTTCAGAGAACTTTTGCGGAATACGTTCTATACACTCATTTATCGCTGCTTTAACTTCAGATAGAGACTCAAAATGGATTCCTCGAAGAGGTTTCTTTATTTCCGGGAAAAAATTATAGTCGCTGGGAGACAGGTCTGGAGAATAGGGCGGGTGTGGCAGCAATTCCTAGCGCAGATCTGACAAAACGGCCTTCGTAAGACGAGCAGTGTGCGGCCTCGCATTGTCTTGCTGCAGTAATGGTCGGGAATGGAGCTTTCTTGGCCATTTTTTCTCGAGTACCTCACGCAGTGGTCCTTCAGCAAATCAGAGTAATATTGTGCATTTATTGTGGAACCTTTTTGTAGTTAATCAATCATGATTATCTACAAAATCATTATTCCCCTGGCAATCCCAAAACACCGTTATCATAACCTTACCAACTGATGGCACTGTCCTTGCTTAAAGCGGAGGGCCATCAGAAGGTCGCCGCCATTCCATGGACTGAATTTTTGTTTGTGGATTAAAGTAAGGTATCCAGGTCTCATCTTTCGTGATGATTCCTTGTCAGAAACTATCCCCATATCGTTCCTGTAGAAGCAACAACTCGGAACAAACCTCCACGCGATCGAGTTTCTGTTCTGGCCAAAACAGCAGCGGTACCCATCGTGCAGAAACCATGCTCACTCCAGGACGGTCGTGTAAAATTTCATGAACTTTTCTGGAACTGATGCATACACTTACTGCAATCTCGAGAATCTTTCGTCTGTCTTCCATCACTATTTTCTCCACAATGATGGCATTTTATTCGTTAACAGCAGTGTTTGGTCTACCACTGCGGGGGTCATCTTCAAGGCTCGTTCTTCCATTCTTAAAGCGATCGATCCAGCGATAGACGGTACTTTTGGATTCAGAAGATTCACCAAAAACAGCTTTCAAACGTTGAATAATTTCAGACGTCCTAATACCTTCCTTCCATAAAAAGAAAATGATAGTTTTTTTTGAGAATTTACCGCGTATTCCATGACTAAGTGTACCCTACGCGAACCCTGACAACTTCTTACCGACACATGCCCAGTGAGTAATATTTTGAAGTTGTCTTCATGACAAGCCTAAGCACGTGTGATCAACTTTGCGGTAGGCTTTGATCAGCCGTTCCAGTGATCGAAAAAAATTCCCAGAACTTTGTAAACACAATCGTATACATAATTAGCCAATTAGAATTCGCTGAACTGAGTTTCGGCATTTCGTCGTACACCGATCTTAATATGGCTCAAATGCCCAAAAAGGTTCCCGACCCCTGGATTACACCATTACATCAGGAGAGTGCTTTTATCCCTACTGGTTACAAAACCAATCATACCCCATTTCTTGTATAAATAAACCATAAACCATTTCTTGTATGGATCCATCCATACAAGAAAAAAATGCATTCGCTTGCTATGATGTGGAGGGCCCCATCTTGAAGAAGTCCAGCTTGAACTACATATTCTGCATTTTGAGTATATCTGCTGCTGAAAATACGGGAAAATTTAGAGAAAATGCGCTCAGCAATATAATTGGTTTCTTTGTGGAACGGCAGCAAACCAATGTGTAGTTGTAACAAACGTACGATTTGCCCTACACATTTTCTCCGTTGCTGAAATTTTCAACTCACATTTGGGAAATCCACGGAGATTGCGGTGAGATTAGGATTGAATTGGTCCGTCATGTTGCGTGCAAACAAGTTAGTCCCATTGGCGAGCCTCAGCCTAAGCTGTGAAATGACACCTGAAAATATGCAGATTTCGACATTTTCAAGAAAGATATTTTCCCTAGAAATATCGGTCCACATGCGTATTAACCCTTGGAACGCCAATATCGGGTCAAAATGACCCGATGGCCAGTCCTCCAAGGTTCCGTTGGATCGTTTCTTTTTTTGGTATCTACTTGGGAAATAAATACATAAATATCTTAAAAAGGCATGTGTAGCTTCTATTCTGAACAAAAACCTCATTCGTTACGAGAAATATAAAAAGGTATGTGTAGCTTCTATTCTGAACAAAAACCTCATTCGTTACGAGAAATATATATGGGTCAAAAATGACCCGATCTTGGCGTTTCGCGGGATGCAAATGATCTTGGCGTTCCAAGGGTTAATATCGTTTTTATCGCCGTATTACCTGGATACGCTACAGATTCACTTCTGTGTCCCAAACTTTACCACTGGTTGCCACAGTTTTTTTTTTAGAAATAAAACCGAATTTCTATAATAGGTACCCACCATTCTCAATCCAATATGCAAATCAAATAAATTTGTTGCGGATTCTTGCGATTGGGCAAAATAAAAGAGAAAATGGGCTTCTTTCAGAAATTAAAACTCAGAGAAATCATCCGAGACGAGTGTGACATTTGTTGACAACTCCAAGGGAATCTATTGCATCCACCTCAGATACCATCAGGGGTACACAAGGTCCTTTCGAAAATAAACTTGTTGCAAATTATTCGAAGTGGTTCAAAAGCAACAGCCACAGTTTGAAGGTTTTTGAAAGAAGGTTATTGAAGTTATTGAAAATGAAATCCAATAGCGTTTAAAGTCCGTCATTTGCCTGATAATTATATGGAATAGAAATTCTGGCGACTCCTTCTTTGTTATGAATTTCTTCGTCATTTAGTATGGCGGAATTTCATTAACCGTTTCTTCAAAAATGTTCGTCAGTTTGGCTGTGTTACATAAAATGCAATGGAAGTGAAGGGAAAAATGAAAGAGGAATTTGGTGTTCGGGCAATTGAAAGATGGTCTATTGTTCAAGGGAATCGGTGATTATACGAAATACGATTATACGATTTCGTTAAATTCCCTTGCTGCCCCCCTTTGCAGATCAAACATTTTCGAAAATTGTAATTTCAAATACTTTTCAATAACTCAATCTTCAAAGCATAACCACTCTTGCTGGATCACTCCATATTCACAAGCTAAATTCACTCTAAATCCTATCAAATTGAAGTCATAATTTTGTTTACTGTTCCGTAGCTTACACACGTAATACACCTTTCAAATGCACGAGTAAAATGGCATTCGTGATCAGTCGAGAATCTCCCTCATAAAATGTAACACAATACTTCTTTAGATTCTGGAAAAGATAACAACGGAAGCCTGGGAATCACCTGCTCCAATTAATGGAGTGAAGTCAATTGTTGATCTCAGTGGAAAGAAACTGCCACTTGCACCGTATCCAGGTCGAAGGATTCCATCTTTGAGCACATATCTGATGTCCATGGTTATGTTTTGGATGGTTTCCCAAACTTCAACCTAAAGCAGAATGTATCATTAATCCGGACTTCATAACTTCTAAATGAAATTAAATGTTTTCGAACTCATTCAAATCATGCGACCACACGACTCACGTCAAGGGAGAGATTTTGAGAAGAAACTGAGTTTGAAATGTTCACTGTAACATGATACTTGGAGGCTCCACTTAGAGTTCCAATCTGAAACGATTTCGGCACATCCAATCCACTAGAATTCACCGCTAAATTTGACAAGTTGCCATCGCCAAAGTTCCAAGTTGCCGTCGCAGAAGTTGGGAGAGTGGAACAGGAACAAGACAGAAGAAACATCACATCTCCTGAAATACAAGTATTTATAAGTTTGTGCCAGCAGAGAGGACGCGATTCACTCATGTAAAGTAATAGTGAAAAAGTATTGGAAAACGTTAAGTGCTGGAGAATTCATTCATCTCAAGTTGAGAGGAAGGAAAGAAAATTTGGGAGCATTATTTTCCGCTTTCAAGATGTCAGTTTTGAATCATCACATTGAAATTTGATTTCTTGAAAGTAGAAACGGATTGATTCACACATAAGCACTCATAAGGAGGATCATTAAATGAAAAACAAAGGAGGATTACTTTCATGATTAGGTCATGGAGAGAGGCACTATGGGTGCATTTTCTTGCGTTATCAGTTTTCTTTTAAATATCGATGGTGCGCACGGAAATAAACTTTCAGGTATACATAGGGTGATTTTAAAAAAATGTTCTACTGTTTTCTACAGGAGAAACACAATAAAAACACAATTTCATGAATGCAACAATAATATTTTTACTTTGGCTACGCGATCTATATTGCACGGTTACAAGATGTTGAAGTGCATGTCAACTTTTTTTCATGGCTCCTGCCCAAGTTTTGCATTGTCCATTTAGAGGTAAATTTAAGGTGCTTAGAGGGGAATCGTTCCACCTTAAGTGAGCTCCACTGTCTCAGAATTCAATTAAATTTGGCAAACGGTAAGATTATTTTGAGAATTGCCGGCAGATAAAAACATTGGTCTGTACTTAGAGCGAAGACCAAGAAAAGTGAGTTTTAATTTGATGGCATTGGGTGTTGTGAGGCACAAAATGACCCCCAACCCCTAACCTAATGTTAAAGTTCTGGCTACTCAGTTATCATGTCACCACCCTATCTTGATTATCGATGACTTTTTAAGGGACAGTTGGATGCAACTGATAACTTCACAGAGAGGTTCATGAGTTTAAGATGTTTTTTTACATCCGCAAGATGGCGCTGTTTGTCAATTGAGGGTGCTTTTGCTGACAGGACGGCCGTCTATATTAGCACTACGCCACTTTTTACATAGGAAATGAAAACTTGTAATTTTTTGTTTGGCCTTTGAACTTTGCATGAGCCTCTCTGCCAAACATCAGTTGTATCTAGGAGTCCTTTCAAAAGATTTTTTTGTCCAGAAGGCAGTTTAAAAAAAATTAATATAATCATTTAAAGGCCGAAATTAGGAAAACTACTCTAATTGAATTTTTGAGATGATGGAGCATAGACCATTACTGCATTTGAGGTGTAATAATCCACCTGTAAGCTTTATAACGGGATAATGCACAGCTCAAAGAATTGTTCAGAGAAAAACCCAGACAATCTCCTCAACATCTTGTGTATATCTAATATCAGGAGTTTATCAATCTTATAATTTTTACTCGATCATACGAATCTTACATTCTACTAGAGAAAACGGTAGAACATCTTTTTTTAAATCACCCTAAATATGCTTCATAAAGGTTCAATGAAATCATAGTATACACGGGCACACAGCTGAACGGACTACATTAGGCTGAGACTCAACTAACTTTCGTGTTGGGAATATTCTTATTCATTATACAACCTTTAGAGAAGCCAAATCCAATTTTTTTTTAACGTTTCCTTCCATCCGACAATGATTTTGAGGGATCGTTTTTCAAAATAGATTATGCGTGGTTTGTTGCTTGGGTATGTCTCTAAAGGAAGAATGGAATAGAAACGAATGGAAGTAGAGAAAAGAGCACCAGAGAACGGTCTTGAATCGAACCTATGCCTCCTGATTGTCCAGAGAGACGTCATTTCCTGCTGTGCAAGGGGGAGCTACTTGGTCGAAGGAAGGAGAAGGACTAATGGATGGGGTGGAGGCTTGCCCTCCTCGTCTTCCCTAAAATGACGTCCCTGTCCGTTAAGTGAGCTACCATTGCACCACTGAACCCAGGGAATTTAGTGGCACCTCTCCGTGTCATCACTATCACTAAAAAATACGCGTACCTAGCTGATGCATTGTAGCACGTACCGGGAGGAAGCAGAACGATGCCGCTTGTGAGACCGCTGGAGATCGTGAGGTTCCAGTTATTTTCAACAGGATGCTGGATCTCGATCTCCACTGAAGCAGTCTGAAAGTTGGCTACTCCAATCAGAGCACCCTGGGCATTTCTCGCTTCCACTGTCACATTCTTCATTCCATCCGAAGTGTAGGAGTGGTTGAACTTGTACACTTGAAGAGGGTCAACCTCATCGACTTTCCCAGGAAAGAAAGGAAAGAACGTCATTGTCTTTTACAACTGACTACTATAGCTCCGTTACTCCTTAACCTTCGCATGGCACACCAACTCTCAATCTGATGTAACATACAAACTGAACCAGATAAAGGGAATAGGATATATGGTAATAGTGGGGATATGCCAACCAATTTTAAATTTTCACCAAAGTTCAAAGTCAATGAGAGTCACGCGATGGTGAACGCTTCAAGAACACTCCACCCGAGATTTGTCTCGATACGTTATTGTTGTGGTGGCGATATCAGTAATTACAACTTTCAATTTAAAAAAAATAAGGTTGTTCATTTTATGGAAAGCATGCCATCGATTGGTAATCTATTCAATCTAATTGTGATAGAAATAATGGCAATTGATTTTTTAATTCCATTATATTTCAGATTTATTCAAGCATTCTGGCACGTGACAATTACGCAGTATTACACATGTGCTAAATCATCTGGCTTGCAAGTGCGGACTAAGTAGTTTTTGAAATGATCACTGTAGTCAGGCTGAGTCGACATCGCCATGATATAGTTGGATATCGAGGTGATGGAACGAATACCTACAGGACGAGTTCTGTAAGGTAGAGTTGAGGAATGCAAAGGGAGCACTTGCAGCAGTAGTCTTACGATCAAAGAACACAAAATACCGGGACATTGTCTTAATACTATAAGAATCATACTTACAGTATCATGCGCGACAAAAAAGGCTGCCGCTGTTGATGGTTGCACCATGAAAAATTCATTTTTGGAATTTACGAAAATGAAATCTCACATTACTGTAGTAGCTTCGAATAAAACCTCTTTATTTCAGATTCGACAATGATGACCTACGTATAGCCAGCGCTCCGAGCTATTGACTTTATCCAAGCAAGTCACCTTTAAGCACATCGACAACATGAGAATAATTCGAAGTAGTAAAACTTGTTGAATCTGTGCGCCGCTATGGGGAGCAGTTCCTGCCGTAGTTCCCAATTGGCTTATTGAAATTGGCCTGTGGCGCTCCGTCGCATTAATAAGGAATCTTGTATCAAGCTGCCTTAAGCCTATTATGGATACGAGGTAACTCACTCGTTCTCTCGAGGACTTTCAAGCCGCTCCCATCGTCCCAGTAAAATAGAATCAACGCTGGAACTCCTGTGTCCATTTGAATACCAAATTCAATCGCTTCATCAGATCGGAAAATTCCCCCTGGAGGTGGACTCACAATCTGAAAAAGTCACAAAAATTCCTATATGATCATATTCTACGACTGCCAAACAGGCTGGACATTGCCTGGGCTTCCATATCTCAGACTGATGTCATTTGCAAGTAATTTTTACAATATGCATTTTTTGGAAACTGAAGAGTTCCTCATGCCATCTCGCACGTCAGAGACTGGGATACACAGTCAACATCGCGAGAGATGACCGGGGGAAGATGGGGGTCGTACCTTAGGCTACAAATTAGACTCGCATGACGGAAAATGTATTAGTCTCCCAATTAGCAATCACTCCCCAAAAGCTGCAAGATGCTATTGACAAATTTGTTTTCAATTTATTTATGGCTTTTAGGAATTCCATGAGTGCAAAAGTTTTCTCGACCCACTTTTCTGTCCAATCTATAATTTCTGTAATTCGTACATTTTTAAAATTCAATTATACTAATAATAATATGCATTGTCACGTAATTGAAATAAGTTACGAAACAGGTTCTTACGAACAAGACAGGTACGGTGGCAAGTAAATTTCCCAGCGGTTATAAAATGCCTGCAGATATATAGAACTTGATATAACATTATCTCTTCATGGAAGTTGTTTAAGCGCCTCCCAGCCACAATGCATTCTGGATGCAGAATCCCTAGTTTGAGATAAAATATTTAGGGTAAAGGGTTTGAGAGGGAAACGGTAGAAATTAAAGCAAAAGCCTTACGGTTTCCATATTAGCTTTTTGCTCATTCCAAGCTGGTCACCCCAGAAAAAGATTGTTCCCCAAACCCATCTCTATGCATTCATGCAGCACAGCGGCGAGACCACTTTTACATGCGAATATTCCATCGTTTATACATTGTAGTCAAACCACTTTTCCTTTCCAAATTAGAACAGCCAGTTCACCCGGAACCCGGAAAAACGACTTTTTCGCAGAAAGACCACTTTGCCATTCAGCCCTTCATTTTTAAATTCGGACGACGACATAATGTTTTAAAACTGTATGACCACGCCAATGGAGGCGATGCATGCAGAACGCGGAAAGTGAAGGGAGGTGGAAAAAAGGAGGAAGTTAGTTCCCCTCGATCAGATAAGCGACCCAATGGAGGTTGATAGATGGTAGATGGATTTTTAAGAAATGCTTTCCGTCGGAGTGAGCCCTGAGGGGAAAGAGAGGCGGGAAGACGCTATGCGACATCTACACAACACCTTCGCCCTAGTTCAATTTTCAGGAAGGGTAGGACACCCTTTTAACTCTTTGTCTCCGAGCAGCCAATATATCGGCGCGGTCGATTTCCCATTTGGACGAGCTGCCGACATATAAGTTGTAAGTTTTGTTCCGTTTCACGGGCAATACCAAATTTTAAACTTCTTATACAGTCAAAATAAAACTAGAACTACTTCTGCTAACGAAATATCTTCAATCTGAGCGCCAATTCGATAGAAGAAAGACGTGTTTTCAGCGATATACGAACCCCTATTTTGAAACAGCGAGGATGACCACGCCCACCACTTTTAATAGCCGTCGTCGCTTCACCACAGAACAAGCTAGGAAGTTATTTGAGGAACTTCTAAGACAGGAAAAGGACGTTATTACCAGTGATCATGATGATGATGACGACAATACTCATATACCTGTCATTTTTGAGCTTTTGCAGTGGATATTTATCATGGGGGACAGTGTTAGAACCTGGTAAGTCATGTTTGTGTGAATATTTTTTCGTCTGTCTTCCTGCCATCCTTTCACATTGTAAAATTACTTCATCTTTTTAAAAACCGTAATATTTTTTAGTAGAACATTAATCTTCATCCATTTCCATTTACTATGATGATACCATGTGCATTTCGATAACCAAGCATGCCAAAACTCATTTGCAAAAAACACCCACCGCTACCCTTGCGGCCATTTTTACTCCGTCCAAACTCTGTTTTTGAGAGTTAAGGCCTAAGGGTAAGATCAGTAAATTTGCCGACAGTACCGAAATAGGTTTTCCATCTTGGGGATAGCGGATCGGAAGAGAAATGAGCAAGACTCTTCAACGAGGGGAGCAAGAAATGGCTCATGAGTTTTAATCATAAGTAAGGTAAGTGTGAGGTCATAAAAACGAGTTCGGAGTAGATTAACTGGATGAAGCAAGCGGAGAGAAAGACCTTGGAATTACTATTGATGAAGAACTCAAGTTCTCCTCGCCCGTGCAAGCAACGATAACAAAATGCAACAGGACTCTAGGCTTCATCCGTTGTTCCGTAGCCAGTAGGAGCACGCGCGTTATTCTCCCGTTGTTTGAGGCACTAGTAATACCCCTTTTGGAGCCTTGCACTCAATGTTGGAGACCGTCGAATAAGAGCGAATTGGTGGCGCCCGAGATGGTCCAGACGGGGCCCTAGTGAATGATCAATAATGCTAGGGGACTTTAGAAAATGTTGGGTTGTACTCATTAGAGAGAAGGTCAATGAGAGGCTTTCAACCTCATTTAATGGAGCGACAATGTAGAGTGGGATAAGCTCTTCCAGATTGACGGCAGTTTGAGAACCAAGGGAAATCAACTTAAATTACATAAATCCCAGACGCAACGCAAATAGCGAAAATATTTATTTACGTGTAGGGTGGTGAAGACGTGGACTGAGTTAAGTGATGCCGCAGTGGCTCCCCTTCCGTGATTAGCTTTAAGGGGAGGCTAGATGACTTCAGGAAAAAAAACAAAAAAAAACAAAGGGAGTAATGTGAATGCTAAGAGACTAGGCATTAAGAGGACTTGGCAGTAAGAGAATAGGATATACAAAATAAAAACAAAACCCCCAAAATATCTAACTTTAAGAGGAGTTGGTCTTTCCTATGTTACTGGTACTGAAATGCTCGAACTCGACATGGGATATCCCTATGGGCATAAACGCCTTTGATGTCCCGTGCCAAACCTTGATACCATGCAGTAAGATATGAACTTACCTTCAGGTTGCTGATTGGAATGTAGGGGTCGATGTAAATGCTGTAGACCTCTGAGGAAACCCATTCTTGAATTTCATTATAAGCTTCCAGGATGATACTGTAGTTACCACCCTGTAAAAGTCATGTCAAAAGTTGCAGATTAGAGTCAAGTTCTCATTCTTTAATTTTCCACCTCGAAGTTACACTTTTATATCACCAAGAAACTATTCATAACTAAGCAAAATGTTAGTATCCTTTCTATACAGATGAAATGATGGAGAGTATGAAGACGAGCAATGCCAGATGCATGACCACACAATGACTTGGTAATGCATGCTGAAACTGTGCAACTCTTTCTATTTCCAGAAAAATACCATGAACCAACCATGAAAAACAGCAAAATCCTTTCAGAAATATACTATTCAGTGTGATACAAAAGTAGATCTACAACTTCCGTGGCTTATGACTTACATGAGCCTTCGTCACAGCGCAACGAAAGTGATATCGAAAAAAGGTATAGACTTCAAGTTTTATTACCAGCAATTGCCATAATTCAACGTGACTACCAGAAATGAAGTGGCAGATATCCCGGCGATACTCAATCTCATCCCATACCCGTTGCAGAACGTCCGGTGAAACTCTGGCAATGGCCGCAGAGATCGTTTCCTTCAGTTCTGGCACGTTTGATGGCAGTGGCGGCTGTCAGACCTTGTCCTTGATGAAACCCCACAAGAAAAAGTCCAGTGAAAAAATTCAAATGAAGTCTGCAGTTATCACGCCGTAAGACTTTTTCTCATGGCGTTTGGAGACTGGTTGAAAATTTTTCCACTGGATTTTTGCAACGGGTATGGGATGAGATTGAGTATCGCCGGGATATCTGCCACTTCATTTCTGGTAGTCACGTTGAATTGTGGCAATTGCTGGTAATAAAACTTGAAGTCTATACCTTTGTTTCGATATCACTTTTGTTGCGCTGCGACGAAGGCTCATGAAGTCACAAGCCACGAAAGTTGTAGATCTACTTTTGAATCACCCTGTATTATGCTCTCCAGGGAATTCGAAAGCAATTGAAAACTCCTGATATTCTGTCCACAAGTGTCTTACCGTCGAGAAGTTATAGTCCATCCGAGAGATCAGAGGGTTGAACTTGTCAGCCACCACGACTTCGTTGAGGACTGTGCCGTTCTCCAACCTCAACCTATACGTTGATATCACTCCTGATGCGTCAAACAACGCAAAGAACAATTCATGAAGGATTAGGGTCTGATTTTGTTCTAATCGCGAGACAGTATCAGGAGGTTAAAAAAATATATACCTTGCAGATCCAATGGGGTAAACACAACAGTCCGCCGAAGTGGGTAGAAGTTGCTGTCGCTCCCGTATCCTTGGCTCAGGGACCCTGTCACATCCTGGTATTTGATGTCCATCGTCACGTTCTCGATGGCATCCCATACTTCCACCTGATCCAGGTTCACAATTTCGTATTCTCATGGTCATCCAGTTGGCCAGTTATGGCTCCAAGGTGTGGTTGTCATTCCAACACGAAGTGCGAGTTGCATCCGCAAGGCGAAACAATTTCAAACCGTATCATTCGTTTCGTTCTTGTTAAACTGTACAGGTGATACTAACACGACTCTTTTGAGAAAAAAAATTAAATGAGGCTTCCAAATAGAGACCCATGTAACCCGAGTTGTGCACGTTAAGTTAACTCTCTCTCTTTCGTCCTATTGTCTTGCGAGTGCCTAGGCCCCGTGTGTGAACATTCGCTTTAACAGCTTCGTCGGAATGCTACGAAATGTTGGGAATTAAGAATGGAGAAGTAGGAGGGAACGACAGTACGAATGAACTGAGAAATGAGAGCCGGATTTGGGAGCTACTGGCGAAGTGCAAAGACTCCATCGCTGCGCTCCACACAGATAGAGCTGAGGCTCGAAGACCCTGTCGTGTCTGAACTGCACTGCGAATCGCGGAAATTAACGATTGGACTTCCATTCCAAATGTGACATACTGAATTCTTACGAGCGGGAGGAAAGGGCAGAGTAGTCGAGGCTCCCCTCCCGTCCCACCTAATATCGCTGTCCCGTCATGCCTCCCTCTTCCCTCGCCGCCCCCTCAGAAGCATATTGAACCGATTCGCTTGCAAAAATGCTTAGTTTCACTCACTCGAAGGGGGAACGAGGCAGACGAAACCATATTGGTCATGTTGGCCACGACTGTGTAATTGGTTCCTCTGCCGACAGTGACTTTCGAATAAGTTTGCGGTTGTGACATCGAGTTGGATTGTACAGCTTCAATGATTGCAGGTTGGTTGCCGCCAAAGTCCCAGGTCACGTTGGCCGAAGTCGGCAGATTATTGCAGGCGCAGCTCAGTTTGAAACTAGCTAGACCTGCCGGAGGAACGGATCGGAAAATCTGTGAAGTGAATTATAACATTCCATGCTGAACGTGATATGTTCACAGGAAACCGTTGGCAGTGAATAAGAGGGTTGATCAAAATATATTTGTCCCCAAGAAGCGCAAATGATCCGAGGAGGTTGTAGTTGATTCCAATATTCCACCAAATTAATATATGTAATTCAAAAGTAAATAGTTGCTTTTAACTTTTCCTATCAAGATCAGACGCTTTTAGGGAATTTTGAAGTACATTGATGCAATGGAGAAAATTAAATATAGAAGAACGATACAAATTTTATTTTATTTATTAATATTATCCCCTTTAAGTTTACTAAATAAAATAAAATGATTCATAGTATGTCATGAACTTCGCAGAGAAATCTCAATGAAAACTTCATGAAAATATAAATGACCGCATATAAGCTATCAAGCTATTCAAGCATTTTTCGAAGATCATGAAAATGGATTATTTGCTTCCCCAATGAGAACCCATGAGAATGAGAAACGTGTCATTCTTCAAGTGAATTCGGGAATTCATATCCTCCCATATAAAAAACTCCGTAGGTGCAACTAATGAGGTACGTGCAGATGATAGTGGAGCCACGAAATATGAAAATATGAATACCCAATATGACATGGATTTTGGAAAGTTCGTTCTGACCTGGAGGCGTGAGGATGATGTTTCCAGTAGCGCCGCTCGCAATTGTCAAGTTCCATTCTGGCAAAACAGGATATTGTACTTCGATTTCTACCCAATCCAGCTGTATGACGCCTCCTTGCGTCAGGAACGTGTGATTATTTGTTGCTTCAATGGTGATGTTCATCAATCCATCGCTGTTGTATGTGTGGGATATGGAGAAATTCTGAGAAGAGTCCACTACTGCAACGTCAGAAACGGTTTAGAATAAAAAGATACATTTCTTTCACTCACTCCATCCTAAAAATAAGTTTCTGACAAGGGAAACATTTGGAATTTTAGGCTGAGTCATGCAGGTCCGAACGAAAACAAATATTTTGATATTATATCCTATAATTTAAAAAACATATAAACTCATAAATATTCAATGAAAACGAGTCCTACAGCGACCTTCATTCGAAACACTACAGGTAATTGAAACAGGAAAGAACTTGAAAATGAAAATATTATTATGAGAAGTATAATTGCTTGATTTTCAATTTTTTTTCAGGTTCTTTGATTTTCCTCCAAAGAAACACGAGCCAAACGGTTTATAGTATACATGTCCTTAGTCCCTCAGTAGAGTCCAAACTCTTCAACTGTCTGTCTGCAAACTGTCAAAACTCTCGTGAGTCCTATTGTGAACTAAATATCCAAAGTGGCCATGAAATTTGCATCCGTTTTTGGATCGGAGCATTGAACCTGACAAACCACGGGAGGTAGAAATGCGAAATTTGCATGAGAGGTACCATTCACCACGTGGATCATGACGGGAAGAAAATAAATTCATGAGGAATAGCTTCCGTATAGAGGGCGCCACTAAATCCATTGCCCACGATGACCTCCATTTTGATCGATTATGACATCCATAATTGTCTGGAAACGGAGAAATTCGTCTCTAGAAGAACTGCCTTCACTTCCTTGACGTTTCGAACTCACTGAGACGTCCTGACCTCCATCCGCGAGAATTTGATTATGACGCTTGTGGAAGATGCGTGTGTACGTGAGAGCAGGACTACGCCTCGGTATCTCAAAGCTGAAATACGGCGGAGACACTATTCCCCGAGAGACATTGTACACCGCAACTTTCAGTAACATTGCTCGCGTGGAGCCAACATTGGAAAATCGATGAAGCAGCACTCTCTTCATATATTTTAAGAAATTGGTAACTCGCCCGGGATGACTGAAGAATTATTGATGTCGTCTCCCCAGTTGACGACGACATTTGCCGGCGAACCCTGAGTCATGCTGTATACAAGTTGGACCTGCGCGCCAACAGGAAGATAAATCTTCTGGAGTGGTTGCAGGATCTGCGTGCAAAAATGAAAGTAAGCTAGGCTCAATCCAGTCCCGGCATTGAATACATGAACATTAGAAACAGATTCTCTACAGATTTTCTTGGAGGAAACTAGTTTTTTTTTCATTCTCTCCCTTGCGTCGCTGATATAGTATCAATTCAAGAAATTGTCTTGGAAATTTCACGAAAGAGAAATTCACTGTGTGTCCTATGATTATGACTCAATCATGAATCTTTCTAAAATGGATCGGATGAGGCGTGAAACAATGAAGCAATCCTTACAAAACGTCCACTCCCCTGTGGATTTGGAACCAGGTGGATGTCCCGCTAGGTGTTATTTCCAGCTGTTGGAGCGATGTCCACTCCGGGGAAAATCCACCGGGAGGGAAAGTCCACCTCACTCTAAATACATGGACGCGAATGAATAGGTGGATTTCCACCCGAGGAGACGTCCACCTGGTTCCAAATCCATTCCCAATCCACCTGGTTGTTTAACCAGGTGGATAATGGGGTGGACGTTTTGTTAGAGAATGAAACTTGTTCAGAGCTTGAAGGGCGTTCATTGCTTTTTCCTCCTTGCTTTCTTCTTCCCTTCGTGCCCTTTGCCAAGATAGGGAGAGAGCATGTCATGATTTTCTAAGTTTTCACCTGACGGCAGCTTAATAAACTTGTGTAATACCTCAACTGGATCTCTATACGAAAGTAATGGCGCCTCATTTTTATGCTCTGTGCATAGTCAAGTCGCAATACTTGATGAGAATTTGCTCCCGAAGGCCTATGAGAGCGGTTTCACGCGCCAGTAAGATATCTAGCAATTGGAACTAGACGTATTCAACATTTAATCAGAATATTTTTCGTTCCTCTTGAGCTAATTGCTCTCCAGGGTAAGGATTTAAAAAAATAGCGCTTCTCATCGTGCTTCGGCACGGGGCACTTTTTTTTACATTGATTGCAGTTCTGAAAATAAAATTTGAAGAAATGGTAATGAAAACTATGATTTTTGTTGTTATTACAACTGCAGAAATTGTGAGGTGGGGGTCTGAATAAAAATGCCTGGTATGCATTTAAAAATATATATGAACTTTAAATTGCTCTCATCTTTTACTCAAGTTATTGGCAGACATTCTGCAAAATTTTCAAGTTTGTTGAGCTGCATAGAAAATGGCACCATACAATTGAAAATTGTGGGGTTTTTTTGCGAAATTTGTGGTTTTTGCATATTTCGAGCCAACTCGTCTCAAGTGGCATTTGTTGGGACAAAAACGGGGCACACATCATTAGATCTTTTCCGCTGATTCCAAAACATATATAATGATAGGGTTTATGAACATGTTCACGTTTTGCTAATTTCTGAAAAAATTCGCATATTTGACATAGCTTTGCTTCATTCAGTATCGCCTCGAGAAAAAATATACGAAATAACTTCGAGAGTCTCACCTTTTTTAAAGAAAAATGGGGTTTGCTGCGTTCGTTTAGGTCGATATGTTTTCGGCCCGCATGAGCATGAAGAGATACCCCTTTTTTAATTTCACAAAATGTAACGAATTATTGTGCCAAAACGACTCCATACCCAAAGCCAAAAATTTGCATTCTTACTTTGTGCCATGAGGGGTACCACATAAAAAATATCCGTCAATATCTGAGGGTGTCATGCTCCGGCCTCTGGCTGATTTGAGATGGAATGACCCAATCAGACTTTTTCAATGCGTTGAATGTCCAGAAAATCCTCGGCAAATTTGTATTTCAGAAGCTGAAGCTACATGGATATGCTTCTACACCCTCAATAAGGAAACCATAGTTCCAGATCGTAAAGCCCGATCGGTTTCGAGGCAAATTCTGGAGAAAGGCTAATTTCAGCATGTCATGCCTTCAATGGTTCGTTCAGACGAAAGAATAAGCAATCTCATGTTAAAATTCCTCCGTTATGTACCCTCACTCTTAAGAAATTTATCAAGGGAAAAGCGCATAACTTTCGCAAGAGAGCTATGAGAGCACTTAACATTTGATGCAAAATCCTCCAACAGATGATACTGTTGTTTCTTCTCTCATTGTGTAACCCCCCTCATTATTCTGTAGATCGGGACCCATGACCTCTTCTTTAAATCCTGGTCAAACTTGAGGGAAGACTTAGAGCAAATAGAAAGAAGAACGAAACCTGTCTCCTCCTTTGATGAATCGCCCTTCGCTAGCCGTACCCATTCACGTTTGTGTGCTCTGGTCATGGCCTCACCTGAATAGGCACGGACTCACCGTGAGATTCTCGATGGGGATTTCGCACGGAACGAGCGCTGATTGCTGTCCACTCAGAGCCACCCTCGTCATTGTTCCATTTCCGGCCGGCTTCCATGCGAATGGCTGCACAAAGAGAAACCAAGGCTTTTTGTTCGTTCATCGGAATCAGAATAAAAATCGCATACCTTGAAAGTTATTCCCAGAGGATTGGGGTTCACAGTGCAGTTCTGCTCCACGTTCAACGTCTGGTTCTCTCCCCTTACGACAGCCCTCACGTAATAGATTCTGTTGCTATACGAGTTACTCAGCAGGTTGAAATCTCCAGTCTCATCGGAATACGCATTCCTTTACATGGAAAGAGAACACTAAATTAATATCTCCCTTCTTTGGATCTTTGCAGACGAAATGTTCTTTCTTTTTAAGCGCAAATGGCATATGATCGTGAGGAATTTTCACCGGTGTTCTACCTGAATGCAAGTCCACACGGCGATGGACAATAGATGCTCAGCGAATCCCCTTCGAGGATTTGTGAACTCATGGTCATCAAGTGCCAGCCTCTGCTCCCAGCCGTCAATGCATCCGTTCTCACGATACTTTCGGAGGCTTGAGATGCTAGAGAGATGTCAACATGACACAATGAGCGATCTTCTGCAACGATAACATGGATGCTAGTGATGACCTCTCACCGCCCAAAGCAGGACACGTTTCGTCGAGCGAACAGCCAAAAGAGAAAGGGCAGAAGTGATAAGAAGCGTCACAAGTGGTCGAAGAATTATCCGCCGCCCAGCAGGTACTACCACACGTGGAGTAGTCGGTTTTGCAGATGTTCTCGCCGGAGTTGCCACAGACCGGTCGTGAGACCTGAAACCGATCATTTATCGATCATCTTCCTCGAGAATCGTCTCAGTTGGCAATCGCCAAAAGTTTCCCATCCGTAAAACATCATTCCAACCATACCATCGCGAGTGACGAGACTCACATTGAGATACATGGTGCCGTTGCCGTAATACTCGACGGCGACGAGGGTACCAGAGATGGGGATCCCCGGTTCCCCCACGGCGATGGACACAGCCTCTCCTATACTTGGATATTGCAGGTCATTCGACATGGAAGGCGTCCCCTTTGGAGGCAGATTGCCCAACGAGATGTATTCATGATCTGCACAAAGAGAGTGTCTCTTCTTGAGCATAGACTACTGCGTAGGGGATTACTATTTACTTTCAAATACTGTGACTCACGAACAAAGAAACCCAGAAAAAAGTACATATATCCTTCCTTACAGTTAACTAGTGTAAAAGCCCGAGCACGCTCTAGGTGAAATGAGAAGAATCAATGCGTTTCGTGCACACCTTTCTGCTCTTTTTTCGTTTGTTTCAATGGTCCTGGAAGTGCAGTTACCATAGCAACAGCGTTTGCAGCCGACGTCTCGTACTCATTGTTGATTGTGAGTACTTCGCCCGAGAAGGTTTCGTAACAACGCTATTTTTACCGCCGAAATTTGGCCTTATAGCGCCAAAAATGATGATTTTTTAACTTTTGGCCCAATAATTGTCGTCTCCAGCTCATAATAATTCGATTGGCACCCATAGTAGATGAGACACACCGAACGAATTTGGAACACCTAGGAGTCAAATGGAGAAGGGAAGATGGTTCGCTTCATCAGATACTACCATTTTCACTGATAAACCATTTCCAGTGAGTTCTGTCAAAGCATTCTAAAAGGAGACACACATCCCGGAATTTCAAAGAGACAAGCTTCGATCAATAATACAGGGTGTCCCACTTATCGCGGATGATTTTAATCTCGTATTAAATTCTTCTTATTTGAGCAAACTAAACAAATTTTTCACAACATTTAGACAACTGTTAAGCATTTATTGTGACAAAGTTTCAGCGAAATTAAATGCACCAATTACAAGCTATTAACCTTTTCCACTCGAATTTTTGCATCACTCAATGTACCAATGGGCGAGTATACTCGCCCATTCGAGTGGAAAAGGTTAACTTCAGCGTAGCTCCCATCGATTTCAGCACTTTTTCCAATCACTTGTGGTATTCAAGCAGCGTTTTCTCGCGCTTTTCAACAGTATTGTCTACAAACGCAGCGGTAATTCGTTCCTTCAGTTTGGGGATGTCCCTTGGTTTGGTCGCGTTGTCTTTCGACTTGACAAAGCCCCACATGAAGAAATCGCAAGGCGTCAGGTCCGGAGAATAGGCCGGCCAGGGCATAGCCGGCGATCCGTGACCCATCCTTCGATCCGGAAACTTTTTTTTCAGTCAGGCACGAACTTCTTTGCCAAAATGAGGTTGGGCGGGCCGGACTTGACCCCGCGCGACTTCATCATATAGGGCTTTGTCAAGTCGAAAGTCTATTCGATCAAACCGAGGGAAATTCCTGAACTGAAGGAACGAATTACCGCTGCGTTTGTAGATATTACTGTTGAAATACACGAGAAAACGCTGTTTGAATACCGCGAACGATTGGGAAAAGTGCTTGAAATCGATGGGGTCCACGTTGAAGTTCATAGCTCGTAATTGGTGTATTTGATTTGGCTGAAGCTTTGTCAAATGCTAAACAGTTGTCTAAATGTTGTGAACATTTTGTTTAGTTTGCTCAAATAGGAAGAATTTTATATGCGATTAAAATCGTCCGCAATAAGTGGGACACCCTGTTGTGGATGCGTTTCGTCATTAGGGTAACCCCAACAGCCTGCGAGCAAATTTTCAGCGAGTTCCGCTCCGTAATCTTCAAATGAAAACAAGGGGTGATTTTTAGCTCTGCCGGGATGCGAATTGGTTCGATGGCTTCTATCTGACTCGCGCAGCGGGCATGTATGGGCAGGTTGGCAATCGCGTTTCCGGTCAGGTGCGAGTGAATACTTTTCATCAGAAACCTCAAGTTCTGAAGCTTAGAGACCTAGGCAGGCTGAATACTAGCCCAATGGGGTCAATCGAGCTCGATCAACCCGACCCTCGGGAAAAAAAAAATATCGTCACCAATCGAACTCTCTTTATAATCAAGGTGCATGAAAAAACATGTATCGAACGACATGCACTAGGTCGATTTACCTTGAATTTACTAATATTTTTATTACGGCTTTGATAAGAATTCCTTTAAGAGAGTGGACGCTGTTCTCATTGAGGAGCATTGCGAAAAAGGAATACGTTATACTCGAATTTATGATAAACATGTGGTGAATTGCACTATTCATGCACGAACCTGGCAGTGGAAGCGAAATGCCAGGAGGGTTGACATCCAGCTCGGCTCGGTATGCGCCGTCCACGTAGACCAAGCATTCGAATGGAACCCCGGGGATGGCAATTTTGGGGCAATCCACTCCTTTCAACGTCATGTTTTCAGTTATTTCCTCAGTCATAAAGGACACCTTCGGTTCCCTCGAGCCCAAGGACAAGGCAGCGGTTGCTGCAATTGAGAATATAGTCACAGTTAGGTTGGACCTCTGACGTCATCATTCGCGAGACTGAAGTGTAACCTAACGTCATTGGTACACCCTGGAAAGCATGAAAAGATGTTTTTAGTTAAAGTCATGCTGCAGCAATGCCACTTTAGGCTCCTATACGATGATTGAGCTGGCGTCAGACTTAGCTTCTGAGAGATTAACGTTACAATTTCACGGCGTGGAACATGGAAGACAAAACCGACCGGCAAAGGTATATTCTCCCGGAATAGGTATCTGGATGGGGGTTGATGGCGGAACTATCGGAGGTGATCCATCACCAAATGCCACTCCCTTTGACACGGTTTGTGTGCTGTCCAGTTCGGTGCTCACGTTCACGGGAATTGCCTGGGTAACATGAAAACGCATATCGTTCACGCCATCATAAAAAAAGGGTTTAAAAAAATGAACGTACTTTCCAGAGCTTTAAATTGAATATTTATGGCGGATTTTTGAACAGAGCACAATCCGATAATGTAGCTTTATTTACTGGATATATAGTTCATTTTCTCTGAAATAAAGTTGCATTATCGGATAGTGCTCTGTTCAAAAATTTACCCTTAGTTTTTCTATGTTAAAAATTTTTTTTTGTTCTTAAATCGATGTAATTGTTGCGCGCTTGATGAATCTCGTACCAGGTTGGATACGCGCTACCGATTCATTGAATAAATTCACCCAACTTGCAGTACCTTCCTTAGAGATTTTTATCTCTCGGAAGGGATTCGCACAGATGCCGATTTTCCAATTCAAGAAAATCGGCATTCGCGATCCTTCAAAAGGACCCCTCAGTGCAATCGCTAGGGGCAGGAAGTCTGGCAATCGCATCCCGGCGGAGGAGACGGCGAATCACTTGCTGAATTCCAGATATCATCTTCTCTTTTGAAGGAATAGCTTTCTACATTTTGTGGGCAGATTGATGATCATGCATTGCACGGAGGCCCTCTTCGACTCTGGTTGATAGCAGCAAAGGTCTCATTACAATTATTAATTTCAGAGTGGAAACCTTCAGTTTCTGCGAGGTATCGGCTCAGGAACGAGAACGACAGGCCCTTCAGCATTCTCTTTCTGATCTGTTGTTTGGGGACCTAGCGAGCGGAAACATTACCTTAGCTGCTTGTGCACGTTTGCATGCACAGACCCTCATGAAATTCCCGTATCTCGTACCAGCTTCGTTTTCAGATGTGCTGGTTGTCACGCATGAAGGTGCCAGTGAGACGGTTTGCTTTGGCAATTACGTTGACAGTGTCGCCATGCAAAATTCATAGCATTCAACTTACGTTGCAGGACAGTTGCAGAAAAATACCACGTGTCGAAGTACTCTACTAACATTCTGGATTAATTTTTTCCCGGTGTGGCACTCGCTGAGCGTAGAATCCGCAAAACAGACATATTTCCTATGTGCAAACTGTCTCTGATCATGCACGTCATTTTGGTATGAGGAACGGTGCGCGAGCCGCTCCTGCCATCTGTCGACTGGACAAGCAGTTATTGGTCTCATACCAAGTCGCCATCGTCACAGTGCCTTGTGCTCCATCCGTATTTGTCCTCCCAACTATTGACCATCCTTCGAATTTACCTGTATTTCCCAATTGCATGGCGATTGACTGGCGATTCACTCTTTTTCACCATGCTGTAATAATTATCCATGGTGAAAACCTGAGGATTTCTGCATGAGATATTTTACGGAATCGTGTGCAGGATAGTTTTTTTTAATGCTCTTGATTTTCATATTCATTTCTGAGAGCTGAAAATTTCATGAGGCTTCAGATACGAGCTCTTGTATTCCTCCTGTTGGGAATATACGCTTGCGAGGTATACAGAGGTCCTTGACGCGTGACATTTACGCAGAAAACTCATACCTCAACAGTACCTACCTGCATCACGGTTGCATTGGAGACCGCAAAAACGAGCTTCGCAATCGAAACGTTGCTGCTGCCTGCGACATTTTGCGATTGATATACGGACATGAGTGTTGTATCGTTTGTTGATCCACATTCACTGCCGTCCATACATTTTGTCCAACAAGCCGTTGCTGAAATGAGGCGGGAAAAGGCTCATGAGAAGAGTCATCATTCACTTGCTTAAGCTGCTGATTAAGTTTTACACGCAATTCGATATTTTCTGATTATGACTTTTTGTCTGAGAGTGATTTTTCCCTTACAGCTGTTGAGTTCAGAGACGAGTCTTCCAGGAGAACTGCAGGTGCAGAAGCGACCTCCTTCTTGCAGAGCAGCCAGGGTCGAACCGATGTCTCCACACGCTCCACTGCACATGATTGGAGTAACAGTAATCACCGGGTCGTATCCTCCAGGAACGCGTGAGAACACCGGACGCGTCCAGTTGTCCCGGTAGCAGCCTTTGTAACTTGGGCCTGGAATTCATTCCATCAACGATTGAAAACCGATGCGTTCGTGCTTGATAATCTAAGTGGTGTCGTGATGTCTACCTGCTCCGTGCGTTGTTCCCGACGAATCCCAAAGGATCACCTGCAAGAGAATACTTTATGCGACAGGCACAATCGCGCTGTCTCGTCTAGCTATCGGGCAGAGCAAACTGGCATAGGTCGATCAAATAGTATTATTTCGGGGACACGTTCGATGGATGAGCAACGCCACAGATTCCTTTTCTCGGGTTAAATATATTTTTGAAGTTGTTTTATTTGCCAAGAACCACAATTGGTGAAAAGAAACAAGTAATGGCGATGCCCAAGAGGCACTGCGAACAAATAAGATGCATTTAAGAATTTGGCATCGTGTTCAAGAAGCAACAATTGCAGTAAGCGTGCCTAAAGTGGATCTAGTGCGCTCCGATGCAATTTCTCCTCTCTCAAAAATATGTGCAGATGTGCATTGCGTGGTGTCGCCATGCGCGAACATACTTGATCAGATGCCAAAGGAGTAAATGTATCGATGGCTGGAATCAGTGTAAATATTCATGAGTTTTTCGTTGCATAATAAATTATTATTCGCCGAAAATACTCTGTGCGTTTGTGCCCTTTCCTTCCCTTGTGTCCTTCCCCATATCCATGTTACTTACAAAGCAGAAGATTCCCTTGCGCTGCCTAAATTGAAACGACCGCTGCCGAATTTGAAAGGACTTATGATTAAATTCATCGAGAAAACCTATATTAAGAGAAAACGATGGACCAAGTGACTTATCTGCAGGAGTTCCTGTAAAGCTGTCAGCTGTGTTTTCATGAACAAGTATATTTGAATGCGATGAGGACTTTCTCAGTCATTGAAACGCCTAGACTAAGATGAATAAATACTGACATAATTAACTTGGATACATTCAGTATACCCCACAAATTACTCTGTAGCGCTAGCTCGGTTCCTGTAACCCTGAAGATGACACCAAGAAGACAAAGCAATCCATTTCAAATAATGTATCACTTCAGGTACTTCCGTTGTCGGAATTCATTCGAAAGATTTTATTTCAGGGCTGCAGGTTAAGTTTTCAACCGCAAGTACATTCAATGTTATCAGTTCTCTCGCAGTTTCAACTGTCCCTAAAAGATGTTCTACGCCAGCGGAGACAAGCAAAAACGTTCTATATTTGGTTCACTTTAATTTATGACTCCTGTGAAAAAAAAAATTCAGTGTTGCAGCACTGGAAACGGTCCCTCAGACTCACCAAAAATAGTGTTCGCGGTTGACTTTTTCAAGAACATGTACATGCATATAAGAAAAATGCATCAACTGCTTTCCCTGTTTTGGACCAGTTAACATCTCCCATTAAAAAAAAGTTTCGCCAGACAGGTCAAAACATGCCTCATTAGTAGCGTCAGTGCAACGCTGAATCAACCGATGCAAGCTTTCAGCGTTGCACCAACTGTGCTTTTCAGCACTGCCGATCGTGAGAATTGAGTGATTGAGACCATCGGAGCAAGACGAGCTCGACTCTCCCTGATTATTTGAAATTGGTCAAAGAGTCGGAATCTTCCCGGACCGCCTTATTCCACACCATCGAAATGACGGGAATTTAACGGATCGAATCTAGAGCGTTTGGAAAACTCCAGGAAGGCGGCCGGCCGATTTTTTGCGAGATCGCGAATGCGAGGTGCGAGACTGAAAATTCCTGTTTTTTTCTCGGATTCTCCTTTCGGTGGTCGAGATAGGGAGAACGCCGAAGCAACTCACGCAGATGAGAAGTAGAGACGCGGAAGGCGAGGCCATCGTTGAGGCCATCGTCGAGGAACTGCGACTCTTTTCGCCTGCCCTAGGCTCCTTTATTGGCTGGGTATCCCGGCAACCCAGTGCTTTATGCGGCGGGTAGAAGGAACAGGAGAATAAAAGGAACAAAGGCCATGAACTACGATTAGATCAGCCGTAATCGTCGATCTCACGACTCTGTGCTGGCGGCCTAGTTTGTATAGGCAGTGATTGGGCCATGCCAAATTGGAGCTGCCTTATTTGCACTCCTCACTCGATCGTTCCTTCTCGTTCCCCCCTCCACGAGCGATTCGCCGAATGTGGTAGACAAGAGCCAATTAGCCACAGTTCCTTACGTCAGAATAAAAGGGCCAGAATAATAGTCACGGTAAGCCCCGTTGTTATCGGGAATCTTTCGCTACTGGCAAGAAGGCAAGTAACGAGGAGCTCGCCCTATGCAAACTAGGCCACAGTGTATTTTTCCTCATTGCTTTCAGGCAGTCCTTTAACTCCTCGTTCTCATTACCTTCAAGGACACAATTACGAATTAGAAGTGCGGCATCCAACCGAACAGGACGTGTTCAAGAGCAATTACTGGTGAACACAACGAAATCCAAAAGATATACAGGATGTTCCTAAATTATCTTTCCTATGTTGAAATATTTCCTATTTTAAATTATTTCAATTTCAGTCCACGTTCTCTGCAACATCTCCACAGTCACACTGCGACGGTGTCCGCTAACCCAGTCTTGTTCCGCGATGTTTGCTCTAGGTGTGCGATACACGATGGCTTTGACATACCCCAAAATTAAAAAAAAGTATTGTGGGGTGATGTTCGGAGAACGTGGATGTCACGGAACGGGCTCATCCAGACCGATCCATCATCCCGGAAATGTCTGGTCCAGGAATTGCCTGACCAGCAAACTCCAGTGGGCTGGCGAACCATCTTGTCGAAAGATGATTTAAGGTTGTATTTCCTCCAATTGTGGGACCACAAATTGTTCCTTTAGTAAAAGAAAAACATCGCGGAACTACCGACCAAGATAACGGACTCTATCGCCGGTGTGACTATGGACATATGGACATATGGACATTGAGCGAATATGAACTGAAATTGAAATATCGGTTGGACGTGCTGAGAGCCACTAACTGAGCAGATGTGGAAGTCTACTGACATGTCAATAAAAATTCTTTGAGTCAAGCTACAAGACGGTGCAAACTGAATTTTTTGCATGCCTATTAGTTAGTTTTTATTTGGGTTCAAAATAGAAAAAATAATTTAGGAAAACCCAGTATATGCTGAAAATTCTAGTGCCCAAGGTCAAATTCATTCAAACCTAGGTTTCTCAACTTCGGATAAAATCTTTTTTTCTCTTTCTCTTTCCAGATTCCAAGAGAGTAGAAGTTTTTCTAGAAACTCTCAGGCGTGCCACCCTACATTTCCACCGACAAGGAATCTCAGCAAGGGTTGCAGATGAGGAATCTGAACCAGAAGGCATTGCCAAAAGGCATCGGTGGATGCAAAGAGGGGTTGGGGGGCGACAGGCCGCCCTATGGCAAGGTTTGCATCTTATCATTTTTAAAATTATTTTTATATAAGTTAATTTACGTTGGGACCCGTGAAAATGATATCCAGCCTTTACCGCGGATGAATAATGGAATAAGCGATAGGACAGGGAGTGGTGGTCGGTAGGAGGTTGGAACAAGGGAACTATGAATAATTACCATCTTCGGGACAGCACGAAGAGCCAAGGGTATCCTTATCCCAAGGTCCATTAATGCCGAACGTTGCCACGTGGAAAGCCTTCCATATCAGGTCCGTCAATAAGTTCTCGGTCACACCCACGAACGAAGCACGCAGATGGGCAAGAGAACAATTTTGCATACCTCACGCTAGAAAAAAAAAATGGTTAAAAGAAAGCTTCCTTGTATCTCTCAGTGAATATATTTTCTCGCCGAATTCACTCCTGCTTAATCCCGACAATTTTTTTTGCGTGAAAGGCAGCGAAATCTAAAGAAAAAGACTTCCATGGTAATGCAAAACAGCGGCTGAGGGAACTTGAACGAACAAGAACTTTCTCAATTATCAATTTTCCTTGCACAAAGAGTACCACTTCTGGAAGTCCGGACATTCCCTCTTGCAATAATATAGTAGATTGCCCGATTTTTTTTTCCAGTCACTCAAATACACATAAGCCTCATCTACAGTCACATCATATTTGAAATTTTCCTCCGCCAGATAACGCTTGTATAACATAGGTTTCGGCAGTTGGTCTTTCTTTCCCTTCTTTGCTTTTTATGACGTGCATGCACCCGTGGCTTGTGCTTCGATTCTAGATTCAAATCTTGCCTGATAATATTGGGTACTGTTCCCTTAGACACTTGATACTTCTTTGCAATGGCCCGTTGGGGGAAGGCGTTCTCTCCCTTGACGCAGGCTTCTACTTTCTGGATCTTCTACTTCTAGTTTCTTGCTCCAGACAAAATGCGGATAGGACTTACGTGGTTTTTGACCACCATGCAGTCGAGCTTTCCGACGTTCACCGTATTCTCGTACGATGCGACACAATCTCTTTAGATAATGACCACCATTTTGCAGCACACTTTTTCACAATGTTAAAATACTAGTTTCCTTCGACGGAAAGAGATTGCACGTACGCCTCACAAAATGCTCGTCTATCTGTCATTCCCACTGTGAGAATCACAGACTGAAAACTGACTCCCACTGCAAAGACCTTCTTTATATATCCTGGCATCAACAGCCTTGGGCGAGAAAACTTGCCATACGAATTAGAAGTCTATTTCATTTTTCCATGGGCACCCCCCTCTATAACCTCGATAAGGCTTGGTTCAGCTTCTTCCTTTCTAGAACTTACAACGATCCTGCAACAATGAAACGACTCATGTCTTATTGTGCTATGTCACCACTCTATTGAAAACGTACTTGGCATCACTTGACCGACCCCAGATCTAACTTCAGCGCAACATTCTGCATGCTTGCTAATTGGAAATGNTTCCCTTAGACACTTGATACTTCTTTGCAATGGCCCGTTGGGGGATTGCGTTCTCTCCCTTGACGCAGGCTTCTACTTTCTGGATCTTCTACTTCTAGTTTCTTGCTCCAGACAAAATGCGGATAGGACTTACGTGCTTTTTGACCACCATGCAGTCGAGCTTTCCGACGTTCACCGTATTCTCGTACGATGCGACACAATCTCTTTAGATAATGACCACCATTTTGCAGCACACTTTTTCACAATGATAAAATACTAATTTCCTTCGACGGAAAGAGATTGCACGTACGCCTCACAAAATGCTCGTCTATCTGTCATTCCCACTGTGAGAATCACAGACTGAAAACTGACGCCCACTGCAAAGACCTTCTTTATATATCCTGGCATCAACAGCCTTGGGCGAGAAAACTTGCCATACGAATTAGAAGTCTATTTCATTTTTCCATGGGCACCCCCCTCTATAACCTCGATAAGGCTTGGTTCAGCTTCTTCCTTTCTAGAACTTACAACGATCCTGCAACAATGAAACGACTCATGTCTTATTGTGCTATGTCACCACTCTATTGAAAACGTACTTGGCATCACTTGACCGACCCCAGATCTAACTTCAGCGCAACATTCTGCATGCTTGCTAATTGGAAATGGTTCATCGTTCAAGTAGTTTAACAAGCCAGAATGACGAATCCATATGTTGCTGCTACACACATTTATTTAGAATTGATCGTGCAACATAAAGTTTTATATATAGTGTGCAGGAATTCGAAATAGGAAAAGGAAAAGTAAAATGCATTGATTGAATTCAAAGTTTTGAACTGCGGGAAAAGTGAAGAATTCCATCATGCCGCAGTGGATGATTCATGAATCGGTTGAGTTGCTTCGAGTGGGGTAAATACTCAAAAAGGGGAATTCGTTCATGGAAATGAAATAGAACTGGCTTAGTAGAAGTTTTCCATGGTGCATCCTGCAATTGTTGAAATCGGCAAGGCTCATAAGGAAGTCAACCAAAATCACGATAACTGAGAGAAAAGTTCCAAGGGTAGTCATTGTCGTCACGAAGAATCTCAATTAAATTGATTTCGATTTCGGCCAGTGATGTTTCTCTGTTGAGATATAAGGAAGTAGGTTAGGAACAACGACTCTAGGTCCAACGGCACCTTCATTTGCCACAACTACACTACTTACTCGTATAGTTGAAAAACCAAGTGGAGGGTCCGAAACAGCAGCGGAACTAAGAAAGGCATTCCCTTGTCGTGTTTTTGTGGATCTTGAGGAGTTGGAGCCACCCTTCCCCTTCGTCCAGACAGGCCGAAATAGGATTTTGCCCTGGCCCAGAGGAACTCCATTATTTCATATTCGTTCGGCTGCCTGAACAGGTCTGTCTTGATAGCCTCAAATGCTCGAATGATGATGGTCATCAAGATGTTGATCATGATGAGACTCATTGAGATTGCAAAGAAAAAGAAAAAAACGGCTCCGACAATGTTGGTCTGTCTCATGCTGTCGAACTTGAATTTCCCCAACAACATGGAAAAGCAGGTCCCAAAGGCCGTCACGAAATTCCGCCATTCTTCCAGGTCCGCGTAAAAGAAAAGATTGAACATGAGACAGAATGCGATGAAGAACGTGAAGAATACGAAGCCAAAGCCCAAAAGGTCGTCCCAACATTGTTTCATAGTTGCCGCAAGGACTCCCATTCGACGATTGAATCGAAGGAGTCTGATAAAGGAAACCATTCCGATGAAGGTGAGGAAGGCAACCATATATCCGAAAATCTCGTCAATGAGAGCCACATGCTGGAGGTTGACGTATTCATTGCCGTAGGATTCGTAGATCTTCTCCAAGATGTCTTGAGTGACAACATATCGATAGATGTAGAGCACAACCGCAGTCCATCCCAGTAACAGAGTTGTCATGTCGACGTAGCTCCAGTACTGACGGAAGTAATGACATTTTTCCCTGCAGCACCCTCTGAAGCATCGGTAAGTGAAATAAAGAAGAAAGAGGAGGAAAAACAGTTCGCAGATGAGGATGAAGATGCCAAATCCAGTTTGATAGGGGAGCAGGGTAATTCCGTCGAATCGCCAGCTTGGTACCATCCCTCCGCCAGGGATCATTTCAACCGTCACCCGGCAAATACCGAACAAGTTCACCTGAGGGCAAGAAGAAGTCTGGTGTATAAAAAGTAACTTTAAATTTGTTTCCCAAACAGCAGGCTTCGAGTTCTAGGATTATTTGTGGTCTCGGTTTGCTCAACACTGTAAAACATGGAGTCAGTTGAGAATCTTCTGTCCGACTAGAGCCCGTCCGAGCCGCCCGGCCCGAATCACGAACCGGAGCAAGAAAACGACTCTGACCAGCATGATAACCCTAAGACGAAAACCACAGACGCATCCCTGCTCGATGCATCCCTGCTCGGCCTCCTCGACGCGATCGTCCTGCTCTACACTCTCGGGGCGGGGCAGCAGCTGTCCCGCTTCGGATACCATACTTAGATAGACAAATTGAGTCTGGCACCTCATGATGGAAAACCCTTTTTTCGTCTTGGGATATGCAGAGGGTGAGCCACTCGAGGGATGCATGTACGCAATACGGAGAGAGGACGAGTGAAAGAAAACAGAAGAAACCAGATAGTGAAGCTGACCAGACTTCCCTTATTTGGCATTGAAGGAACAATTTCATTCAGAAATTACTTCTCACAGCAATTTCTCTCGAGAATTACCGTCTAAACAAGCGTGAAGGAGGAGAGAGAAAAGTTAAGAAACGAAAGAGTGAATCTAAAGAGTCTTCTCCAGAGTTGCGTCTCTCATATTGGGCAAGTTCAGACATGAAATATCTGTCATTTCTCCTTAAGGAATCCAGCCTCTACATACGTTGGGGTGACATGAATTGAATCCATCTTAACCAATGACTCAATAATGCATTTTATGGAAATGAGATTAATCTGGACACCATATGTCATCGTTTATGAAACCAAATCGACCAAGAATAGCCGTTTAACCAAATTGTCGCATGGAGCCTGGAGTTTCTTGTTTCTCTCGTGGACCAGGGGGTTTGCTTATGTTCTACAGTATAAGGATCGATGAGAAGGGTCCAGATCGAAACTGCCAACAGTCTGACTCCAGTCGAAGCACCATCTTGCAAACTTGTTCATTATATCGTATCCAGATGGTCTTTCTACCCATACTCGAACGAAACTCGCTGTAGGATTTTGTCTGTCAAGGGGGGGGAGAGAAATTTGGAAAACCGACGTGCTCTTACTATAGGAACTGAAAAACATAGTTCTGGCCTTAATTTTCTACTTATACTAAAACAGGAAATTAATAGCGTGGTTATCAAAGGCATGGCACTAAAGGAGACGACTGCATGGAGAGGACTTTTCATATCCGGATGACCACGTTTGGTCAAAAAAATAATAAGAAACAAAGAAGCTAGGGCCACAAGAGGGGGGGAGGACGTTGAGTCGGACAGTAAATGCATATATAGACATCTACAGGCAGCCGTTTGCCAGAATACAGGGGAGGGAGCTTTGGCCTTTTCTGGATATCGATAAACGGATCTCGTGAGTGCATGTGAGTTTGAGTAGGCATAATCTGAATCTGGATGAAGGTCACGTTAATTTTTTGATACAGCTTTGAATACATTTTCTCTCCTAAAAACATGTCTCTTTGTGTTAGTGATTTCCTGTTTCTAATTTTTCCATTCTTGACACTTATTTGCTGTTATTTCAGTCTTGCCAATCGCGGGAACCATAGACATCATGGTGGGCTGTCGGGTGGCTCAAGAACTTTTCTGCTTTTTCAACTCTTCGAGCAGTGTGGCCGATTTCAGACTGGAAGAGAAGGTAGGGGTAAAGACGTGCTGCACCATTGATTTCTTATACTCAGTCCCCCCTGTTCGATTGCAGTGTATGATTGGGGAAGCTATCTTCAATCGATCTCAACGTACACGCAACGTAGAACGAAGGAGATGGCGGCGAAGAGCCCAGTGCACATGTCACATCGGTACTACGACAACTGGTCGCAGGACGTTGCCCTTAAATTATTCATCAATTGGTCACAATTATGTTCAGTTGTGAGAAACATTCGTTGTGTCTTCTTATTTGTCTTCTTTAATATTCGTCGCCGAAATATAATTCCCGTTACGTAATCTAAAGGAATACCGAGTGTCTTCATCACGGCTCGCCAATTAGATCACAATAATGGGATCCAGTTTCTGGTCCCCTAAAGCTTGTTAATACGTCAGAGATTGTCTTAGCAGTCATAGTGCAGGTGTGCGTTCGTCAGATACAGAATAGCATATTAGGCTATTGCTCTAAAATTCATTATCCAATCTAATTATCCAATCCAGTTGTCTTTCAATGGATTTTTGTATACATGTGAAAAGAGGCGCAAAACCAGATGATTTAGCGATATGAGATTATATCCTGTAAAGGGAGCGCTCATATTGAAGGCTCTGGGCTGGCCAAGTCAATAACAGGATTCTTTCGTGCACCATACCTCGCATCGATGCATCCATCAGGATCAATAGCTTTAAGGAAAGATCTGCTCGATCCGATAAAGCCCAATTTTGCAAAAGGAGTTGAAAGACTTGGGCAAGTCTTTCGTATCTCACCTTCCAGTCACTTGTGCCTTGTAGAGAACCCTGCAGCCTTCGAAATACACGATATTTCGAAAGTAGAAATCGAAAAAGGTACCTGAAGGTCACCAGCCCCATACACTATCAGTTTTTCCATACCACCCGTGGCCCAAAAGGTTAACGACTCCATTCAGCGACGAGTTTGCAATGAGTCCTGTTGACTGATAGACGAGTGAAGCCTGCGACAAATCAGGTATCCTCAAACTCGTCGGCGGGCGAAACAGGCCACGACGAATTGACGGGTTTCGGGCTCGCCTACTTATACTGACAGCGCTCCGTAGACGCCGTGTCGAACGAGCGGTCGGATAACCCAGCGATTCCACCTTTTATCCGACCCTTTGGCTATCGGCCATCGGTATACATGTCTTATACGAGGAAGGGAGAGTCGGATATCTGAAACGGACCTCGTTTTTCTACATCCAGGAATGGGAACCTCGCCTTCGCCTCTGTCTCTCTCTCCTGGATATCGGAAAGAATTCGCCCGCCTGCCGATCGGTATGCAAGTGAGGCCCGTTTCGGTTATCCGACTCTCCCCCCCTCATGTAACCTATAAATCTCACTCTTCGCCTCCGTTTAGAGTAGACGGAGGGCCCTTTTGAAGGGTCGGAGAAACAATGAAATCGTCACTTACCCGACGGCTCGTAAAACAAACCGTCTATGTAGCGGTGTCGGTATGAAAAAAGTCAATGTACTGATTTTCTTCTCTTTCTCTGTCTGGGATATAAATACCTCTGTGCACCTTAAGCTAAAGAGAGGCTTTCTCAAACAGTGTAAGCGGTCAAAAAGTTTTATTTTGAAATAGAGCCTTGAAATAGAGTATTTTTCGACTTTCTATGAACAGTAAGTCTCGTTTCACGACTACCTCTGTTTTCTGCATCTAAAGGACTACGTCGCAGCTGTTTTCCGAACCTGATTTGGTGCTCGTTGAAAATCTAATGAAGCTCGCCAACTTACTTGGGCGTTGTAAGTGAAGAATTCCAAGAAGACGGCCCTGGTGTAGCGATCAATCCAGTCGAGACCTTGCAGAGTCACGAGGCGCCCTCGAATCTCAGATTCTAATCCTCGCAACTCCACAACGTATCCTCCACCGCTGTAGGCGTCAAGGTGTCCCACAATGGGAAGGGTTCCCATTTCCGATGCCATCCTATACCTGAATCATACAAAATACATAGATAAAAGCACATAGAAAGCTGCCCCCTCAGGGTTGCAGCGAATTAAATCATCGCGTTTCATTGGCGCAGTTTTTTTCATGACGATCTTAGCTTTCGTCAGTTCATTTTTATCTGAGTCTGCCGTCATGAGATCCAGCTTGACACAATGCCGACGTTTTTGATGCCACATTAACAATGCTGCTAGATACAACTATATAACTTCCCTTTTTTCTGGATGCTTGAAAAATTCAACTGAGCCAAATATCTCGCACTTATCGCATTCATGATGAAGCACAGAGTTAACAAACGTAATAAACATGGAGAAAGTGATTGAGGCTCAAAATAAGAATGGAAAGCATTTCGGTTCACTTTTTGCCACTGATTCGGATAAATTATAGGAAATGATGGGTATAAGAATTTCAAACACCTTAATGACAGCCTCAAAGGGTCAGTGATGTACCCTTCTGCAAGTCGAAATCAATTTAATTCTGATTTCTTCAACGAGCTCCTCTAAGAAAACGTGGGATATTCTCAGCCAGCTTGTCCGTGAGAACCTCATAACGGCGACGATCCTTGTCTTGCGTGATGCGGTTCGTCTGCGAAAATTTTGTTTTTACAAAATAACAGGTACACTGAAGCAAAGCATTAATTCTATGGGAATTCTTATGAAAAGTCTGAATGACTATATCGTCTGTAATCGTAGATATAGTAGACATATTTTTTACGCTGATTTTCATTCATACTTTCATACATATCGTTTAAAATAAATACAAATTATAATGTTGTCATTAGGAAGAAGCATAACTAACATGAATTCGGGCTGAGCGCATTGCGAATCAATGTTAGGAACAGAACGCACTACGCCAAGCAGACGCTTTTAAAACAAAAATGTTTTATTGTCCATGTGACTTCGTTTCGTAATTAAGATACCCTTAAGAATACTTTTCAGACTTACTGATATAGCAGACATTAATTTTTTTACGCTGATTTTCATTCATACTTTCATACATATCGTTTAAAATAAATACAAATTATAATGTTGTCATTAGGAAGAAGCATAACTAACATGAATTCGGGCTGAGCGCATTGCGAATCAATGTTATTGACTTCAGTTTTTCGTTGCCAGTGTTCACAGTAATCATCACTGTCTTCATTGACGACACTGGAAGTGCCAGAACATGTCTTGATGTTTAATCCTCGATAGCTACTGGAAAACCTGCAAAGAGAAACGCTTCTTTGAGCAAGTGTTGTAAAAAAAAAAAAGGAGTTCGCATGATGCCACTTGAGCGGCTCCACGCCATTCAGGGCTGCGGTTTGTATTAAGTGATGCAACGGCTGTTCTCACTCTAGGATCCATTTTCCATAGGTTAAACGGCATTGACAGCAGAATGTCCTTTATTTTTTTACTTCCGTGTCTGTGGACTTACATTGCCAACCTGTCACCTTCAGTCAAGATTCACCTCCTTCACTATGGATTTCTTTTCGTTAGATTTAAAAATAAATACACAGAAAAACCTTGTCGATTGACAGATTAACCAGGGCAAGACTAATTCCCCCGAAAGGGCAATGCACGAAGAAGTGATCAACTTGGTTCACTCTTGACTATCTCTCAGCCTTGAAAGCCAAGGTACCTGGCTGCTCGAGCCTCGGCCATTTAAAAAAAATGTCCATGTTAGTGTATGAAATTACACCGCGTCTCTTCATGATGCTGCTTTCATGGAAATGAGGAACACTCCAAGAGCATAATACTTAACTCTATATGGGGACAGGAAGCCTTAAAAAATGAATTCACACTTCCTCTGCAGATTTAATGCTATCAAAACTGGCATTTTACAAACGTGTTCCCATGTTTATTATAGATTTCTTCTTCTAGCCCTGCTACTCACTCACATGTCATTTGCTTCATATCATGGATATTTAACTCACAAACAAGTCTGGGGACGGACTCGGACTTGACGAAGTGTTCCATATCCAAGGAGTCGATTTACTCGATCGTCCAGGAAACCTTTGAAGCCCCAGGGCGCATCTCCATTGTACCAATTCTGAGCACGGAGTTGATTCATCACAACCCCGTTTAGCCAGCTCCAGTAGTCGTTTGTCGTGACCACCTGTGATGGATTGGAATGTAGTGAGAGATCCGAGAGTAGTAGTGTCCATTGGTTATTGAGTTAAAACCACCGCATTGAATTCAAAACTCTTTTATATGCTTAATATCTTCGAACTGAGAAAGCAGCTAATTGACTCAGGAAAAAAAAAATTATATCACTTTCTTTCGGCTTAGGTCATGGGCTAGTAATGAATTCACCCATTCAAGGGATATTATCGTCGAAGTCCCAATGTCTTTTCTCATTCTTCTAGCTTGAAGGGTGGAAAATGAAGACTAAGTAGTGACATTTGTTTTCAACTACTAAGAGCTCTAAGATTAATACTTTCTGGCCCAGTCACTCCCTTCAGAAACACTACCTTTCCCATTTTTTCCTGAACGTTCTGGCTCAATGATTTCAATCGGAATCACGAAGTTCATGTTTGTTGGGCGTTATGTTTAATGTTTAATTTTAAAGTGCAAGTCATTTTAAGTGCTCCTGGCGTTTTTTAGATCGAATTTTCAACTGAGCTCTCAACACGTGACTGCTTTCTTTTGAATTCGCGGCTACGTTTCCTCATAAAAAATAAATTAACGAATATTTTTGCAAGGCATTCCTCAAACTCTGTAGTCTAAGGTTAGACTTTGATGTTTGAGTATTCAGTTAGGGTTGGTTTCATTGTAATTTTTAACCAGTTTTGTTTCATTGTTACGAGTCGGGTTTGATCGACCGGTTGACGATGTTCGATACGGTTGAGACGGCCATTGACCAGTTCACACTGAAAGCAAGATAAGATGCAAGCAATTCATAAAAAAACAATCAATAATAAAATATGAGAAGCGTAACATAAATCTACTGTATGTCTCAACGAAGCACGCAAATCGTATCGTGCTAGGTAACTCCTCACAAAATGCCAAATTATGCCATTTGTCATCACTCCATCTTTCCTTTCTGTGACAGCAATTGAAGTCAACTTAACTCATTGTACACATTTAACGAAGATTCAGGCGTTTTTTGTTATTTTTTTCTTGAATAAAAGAAAACGCTGTGCTGGAAAGGATGAAAATGAAGCAAGAAGTCAATTTTGCTCCATTCGCCTGAAACCTGCTTGAAAAAGCGTTCGAGCAAGTACACAGGCATATTTCTCGGAGAACTCATGATTATATACCCGCTACAGACCTTGGTGAAGTCCACTTCGCGGTCTCCAATCCTTAGGAAGGTGTTCGCGAAGGCATCCTGGAGGTAGAAGGTATTCGGACTCCTGTTGCCATATGAGAGAACGAGAATGACCCAAAGGTAGAAAATGTAAAGGATGATCTCTTTGATGATCTCCCACATTCGAACTTCTTTCAGCCTTTTCTCCCTGATTGCTTGTAAAGTCTTCTGATCCACCGGACAATATTCACCTCTCTCATTTACTGTCAAACGAGGAACTAGAGTTTTCATTGCAGTTCTTGAATTTTCAACGTACAAATTAAAATGCAGTGCCAGAGGGGAAGAAAGAGTTGTAATGAGAGTCCTGAGAAGTACAAGGAGGCTTTCGGAGCACCGAGCCGTGCAAGGCGACACCGAGACAAGTCAACCTCAACGAAATGAGGTCATCGATGAGTGTTTCTCTGTGAATCTCTTGGAGAAGTTTCACGACCCGCGTCGAATGCCCTCGATGAAAAAAGAATCATTTTTCATTTGTACAAAAAACTACTCCATCGATGGAGGAATTTCTTTCTTGATCTGGGTCTAGTTCTAGTTGGACGCAAATGTAACTGCAGATGACACTACAAGATTTAAAAAAAACTGCATGTAGGCAAAACAGGCTTCTGGTATTCATGGCCATTGTCACTATAGCCACTCCAGCCCCGTCTACGCTAAAATCGCAATAATTTTTCATCATTTCAAGAGTGTAAGAGGCTTTGGGACTTTTTGTTCGGAATCCATAAACGTACGTCTCTCAGGGATCCACTCCTGATCATATCTAAGACGAGGATCTTCTTCGTCTTCATCTGCATCATCGTTGCTAGGTTCCATTTTGAAGATGCAACTGAACAAGAGGGCCATCAGGAGAATCTGGAACAGAAAAATGGAAAAGTCACTTGCTAATTGAATCCCAAAAATGCCAGTAGCACTTAATCCCCTTCCACACAGATGACAACTAGGGAGCGGATTTTTATGCGCTAATAAGTTTAAAAAAATATCCGAATGCATATGCACTTTAAAATGCCAAAATATGCGTGAAATAAGCATGAATGAGGAAAAGCACGCGAAAAAATGTGGGTTTTTTTTTATGCAGTACGAACTTTTCGGAAGAAGGAACTTCAATGAACATTTCATGTCTCTACTGGGAAAAGTTGATCTATTGCTGTCACAGCCAGCAGCAAAGCCAGGAACTTGCCAATGGAGGGCTAAGGAAAACGAAGGGGGGCCAGGATTTCCTAAACTTCTCGGGAGTAGCGGATGGATTTAGGGCATGGTTAGCGTGCTTCGCCCCCCCCCCCCCCCCCACCCCCGCTCTCTGCACGCGCGCGTTACGCTGCTGGTCACAGCACATATCCGCTTGAAAATTTTCATCGGTAGCTCATAAAAAAACACATTTCTGGAAAAGCCTTATTTTTCCCCCAAAAAGGGGAAATATGGATGCACATGCTGAGAAAAACCTAACCATATGCATTTTTATGCGTTTTTAAAATGGTAGAAATCGCCTCCTCTACCAATAAGGCATGATCCTACCTGGGTTGCATGTTCTTAGGAGGCTGCAGAAAAAATATGCATTTGCATTTTTAAAAAATCCGCTCCCTAATGATAACTCATCTATATTTTTGAAAAATAACCTGCCTTGTCATCTTCCGACTGCAATCATTTCCCACCCAACTTTGCTCAAGAAATGCTTAACATTCTCAAGGAAGTGAATGGGGAAATTTTATCCATGTTTTTCTGTGCACGTCCTTGAAAAGAGCCCCAAGAGTTAGCATATTTGGAAGTTTACGTGCCGATTACTATTTTTTATTGAGAAAATGAATACTTTGATAACTTGCCTTCAATTCTTTCTATTCTCAGTACATTTTTCCAATTCTAAAATTGAAACTTTAAATTTATCGTACTAACATTTAGTCTTCAGTGAAACCTCCTTTGCAAGGAAGGAGGACATGAAAGGTAGACACCATCATGGTGATAGGTTTCAATGGCTAGCATAAAATGGCTGCGGATTTAACTCGAGAGGTTGGTGCTTCAGATCAGCGTTCGGATGGGCTTTAAATGGAAACTCCTTGGCTCGGTGTCCGTTTTTACAGAAATGCATGAAATGGGACGTTGAATTCTAAATGTTGCCTGCAATGTTGCAAGGAATTTCATGCCGTCAATTTATAAGTATTTGAAGTAATCGCTCGTTAGGTAGAGGTTGTGAACTGTTGCAAGAAGATACCGTTTCCTTCATAGCAAGGGAAGATATTTAAGCTTCTTGATTACAACTTTAATCGTATAAATTGACCCTAGAATATTTCATACATAACCGAACAGACTTAAATGTTCATACAGTATTTAGGTAGTAATGCATCTTTTAACTGTGGATCAAACTTCAATTACGCGCCATGTTCTCCATAAAATGCACAACTACGCTGTGTTAGTGCAGGAACATGGCAAAACGCTCGACAACCGAAGAAGTGTGATACGGTTGAAGCTTTTCAAGTTTGAAAACGCAGCTGAGGTTCATAGACAGTGGCTCAGAAAATTCAGTAGTGATCCTCATACACGGGAAATAATTGTGCGTGTTATAACATTTTAACGAGACCAAAAGTATTGTCGATTTGCCTCCTTAGGGTAGAAAAAAATCGGTTCGAAAGGAGCAAGTAGTGGAAACCTTTGCTCTAGTGGAAACGTCATGACGGCTCTTCCACGTGACCTTCGCAAATCGGTCCGACGTGCCTCTGCGGAACTGAACTTGTCTCTCCCATTGGTTTTTTTCCAAATATATTTTTTTAATGAGGAGTAGTGAGGATGGAGTTCATGCTCAGAAATGTGGCAACCATTCATGAACTCTAAGAGAAAATCACAGAGGTCTTGCGAGGAATCAGTCAGGACCTATGCCAAAATAGTGTGTCGTCCCGTAAAGAGGCGCTTGCAGAAGTACCAAGACCATAATGGCGAACAAATATGGTGTATTTTAAGTTAATATAGGGATATAATTGTGCGGTAAATTCAGTTATGCACGAAGCTCCCATATTTCTTCATTACTAATATAGAGGAGTTCAATCTGTTCAGTTATACTGGGAGGGGAGAGGGGGGAGAGAGAAACAGAATATGGGGTCGATTTAAAATTTTTTTAAATCTCCTTGTCTTTCCTTCGTTGTAGAATTAGGAAAATTCCCCTAAATGTGGCCAAAGTTCAACTTCTTGGACTTTCTTTAAGGAAAGTCCGTCCGTTGAAAGACTCTCGACGGTGCTTTGGGTTTCACCTCGAAAATGAGCGTTTGTTCCTAGGTGAAAAGTAGCGAATTCGTCCATTAAGAAGCTTGTGATAGAGATCTTATTGTTTCTTGGCTGCTTCAGCGTCCAAGTAGTTTGTGCAATAGCTCGAGATCCTCATTTGCAAAATGTGTTTCCTAGCCAAGTTAAAAATATATTGGACTACTTCCAAAAGTATGGTTCGTGCCTGAATTAGTGGCCGCTGCCGATGCTAAAAGGGTGGTCCTGGTCAGTTCGGATTCCTCCCATCATTCTAGCTGTTCGGCAAAGGATGATAGGTACCGGCGAGTCTCATCACAGGACAGCTCAAAACGCTAGAATCAGCGTAAGCGTCAGAAAATGATGCAGCAATAACTTGGCTTTATTGCCGCAACAGCTCGTTGTATTAACAACTCATCAGTGGCATTATTGCCGCTTATGAGTGCCGGGTTCTTATGCTATGCGATGCTTAGTATAATTTGTTTTTCACCATCATTTTTTTATTTTTCTCATTAAAAAAAAAACATCAGAAAAGCTTCAATATTCTTCTCAGATAGGCAGCGCCATATTGCACTTGAATCAACAGGTGCATATTTCTATTTTTTTTTAATTTGCCACATAAAAAAATGAAGTACAGTATTTGATGAAATTTCATGATTCCACAATGAGGGGAAAAACATGGAATTTGTAATTTTTTTATCGGCTCTAAGTTTTACCCCCTCCCAGTATCAATAGGCGCGGTAGTGCCTATTACCTTTCTTCGACCCCTTCCTGTTACAAAAGTCAACCCCCTCGCATTCCACTCTAGGAACATCAGAAAGGAAATTGGGCATGTATGGGCTCTCTCAACAAAGCTCCAACAATTTTGAAGCTCCATCTCCCCCGGGGTTGTGGAGAACGCTGAATCTCGCTTTTCAAATATGTGAATTTCATTGGTTCCCCCCCCCCTCCCCCTCCCCCCTTGGTGGCCACTCCTGAAAGGTTTTCGGAGGAAAGAGACCAATCATAAGGAAGACACTGCCTTGTAGATAACGAAAAGTGTTTTTTTTTTTTTTGCGATGCACCATTTCGCCATGAAAAATGAAATTAGGTGTCGTTCAATTTGGCTTAGAGTGCTGGCTTCGATCCCGTTCCCCAGTGTTGTCGGATATCGTGTTGGAGTTATGTTGATTCATGACTGCTTCGGTCTTCGTATCAGTGTCTGGAACTTCTGTATTTTAATGTATGGGACATTTTTGTGCTGAGTTCATGAGATGAGTTGCGAATGAGATGGTGGTTAGCAGTGGCCGGTCGAAGTGAAGAGATATGGGGCGTGTCTTTTTTCTCAGCGGCTCAGCTAGCTCTGCTGAGGCCTCCAGCATCCCATGACGTCATGTTAGGGCTGAGCTGCTCAGCGCTCCCATAGTTCGCTATGCTCCGCTGCCGGCTGCTTGCCCAAGAGTGACGTCATTCGATGACGTGGTCGTGCCTAGCCAACGCGTCTTTTTCGCTAGCAGCTGCTAGCAGCTGCTAGCGGCTGGAGAAAAAGACACGCCCATGGAGATATATTATCTAGACATCCCTTGATGAACAGGATGGCGCCATGAATCAATAGGCATGATAGGGCCTATTTCACCATGCGTTTCATGCTTTCCGGAGTCATTCTCTATCCTTAAACCAAGTCGAGACGGTTCGACAAACTCCAGATAGACCGAGCGTTTCACATCCACAATGAAATGGTACAAACTCGAAACAGACCTCGAATCGGTCTAACGTTACACGTCCTCTGGAATGGTTCGCGAGAGTCTGAATAGGCCTGCGATCGCCCAACGTCACAGGCCCTCGACGAGATGTCGAGGAGACCATGAATTGGTCCTTATAGGCCTAATTGGCCACGTAAGTCCATGAATGAGGTTCTTTTGAACGAAAAAAGGTAGACCTAGGCCTGACCAGAAAACCGGCCTGCGGTTAGGCCTAAGCCTAACGTTTGCTCGTCCCGTGGATATGGAGAGGGGAGAGGAAGGAGGGTTATGTGAAGGTTTGTAAATGAAAATGAGTCAGGGTGCTCTGGATACATAGAGAGAGATTGGCACATTTTCATCTGACTGTTTGTGCCTTAATATTAAGGCACAAATAGCAAAATAGTGCAACACTTCCGATAGACGTTCAGAAAAGCGCCCTACATGTAAGGATACTGTAAGGAATCGAAGACAGACCTTGAGAGGTTCGACGATGAGGACAGAAGAGAAGAAAGAAGTGACAAGAGATGTGGCCCATTGGCACGTTTTCTCATTCCCGAATTGGATTCCGTAGGCCCAGACGAAGAAGACGCTGACTGCGATACAGGCGATGACAAGCAACCAGGCCAGAATTACAAACCACCATGGCAATGAGAACCTCTTCTTCCTCCTCATTTTCCTAAAATGGATAGTTAAACCCCTTGCAATCTCATTCACCTGCCACACATCATCAAACCCAGTGAGGTTACTCAGAGTTCGTGAATATAAGTTAACTCAGTAAATCTTGAAGAAGACTCAATGTTTGGAAGGAAGGTGAATTTGAGTCATGTTTGTCTCCGGTGTCACCAGCCAATAGTGGTTTAAGCATGCAGGCCCAGCTAATCTTATGTGTACCCTTCAATTGATCCAGGGCTCAAACCGAATCGCCATGCACCTCACCAAAAATAATTTTTGAGCAATGTTTCTTGCTTTCGTATGTGGATTAAATAAAAAAGCGTTTGTCCGAATTTCGAGGTGAAGAGAACTGTCGATGCGAAGTAGTACTGCAAAGTGAGCCTTCGAGGTCTTCAAGGAGATCCAGGCATGGAGCCAAAGATGGACCTCAGAGGGAACCCTACGCATCACGATAATGCGTCTCTCCACTAGCTCGCCAGAGCATTAGAATTCCCTTATAATTCAGGTCTTGCCTCCTTCGACCTTCATTTATCCCTGATGATCAAGGAAGGAAGGGTCGATGATATAATATGAAGGCCCAACCTCCTTCATCGATGCAAACGAGAGTTCTCTCTTGAGACAGCAGGTCTACTTCAAACATTAGTGTACGAGGATGAAAAGCTGCAGAGGTGCTCAAGGTACATACTTCAGAAGCTATCATAATCACTTTAACTCTTTGATGACTGTTGATGACTTCACATGTTGTGCTCAGAAACTTTCTTAGTGTCTCTCGATACCTCCAGTGAACAGGTGTTCCAAATAGAACTTGCAGAATAAAGTTTAACTAATATAAAAAGTATCAATATGAAGCCCGAATATTTAAATAAGGAATTGAAAATGAATTTCGAAAGATTTTCTTTTTTAAAATTATATTTGTTTAGTGGTTTAAACTAGTTCCAAAACAGCATGTAAAGACTCACTTGGATTGTTCGACTGCTCTCGAGCTGATGTATTGAGAACGACCTGAAAATTCAGTAATAAAATTATTTCAGCACGCAGATGTAAAAAAGAGATGAAGTGCATGAGGGAGACGAGAAATACAGACTTCATCAATTGGTAGGGTAGCGCCTATTACGTTTCTTCAATTCTTTCCCGTAACGAAATTCAACCCCCTCGTATTCCACTCTAGGAGCATCAGAAACGAAATTGGGCATGTATCTTCCTCTCTCAACAAAGCTCCAGTAAATTTGAAGCGCCATCTCCCAAGGGTTGTGAAGAACACTTGAATCTCGCTTTTGAAGATGTGAATTTCATTCCGTTGTTTCCCCCCACCCCTTGGGTAGCCACTCCTGGGCGTTTTCGGAGGAAAGAGACCAACTATATGAAAGATATTGACTTGTAGATGACAAAAAGTGTCATTTTGTTGTTTGCAATGCACCACTTAGCTATGAAAAGTGAAATTAACTGTCGTTAGCATGCTGGCTCCGGTCCAGTCCCCCAGTGTTGCCAGATATCGTGTCGAAATTGTCAGATTCTTGACTGCTTGAGCCTTCATATCGGTGTCTGGATCTTCTGTTTTTTAATGTATGGAACATTTACGGGCTGAGTGCGCAAGATGAGCTGAGATTGAAACGTTGGTTAGCAGTCGCTGATCGATTTGGTGGGATATGGAGGCATCTTATCCAGACATCTCTGAACTAACAGGATGGCGCGGACCATGGATTCCATGCTTCCAAGTGGCATTCTCTTCTCAGATCTAGTCGAGATGGTTCGAGGAGCTCCAGACAGGCCTAACGTTCCACATCCGCTCTGAAAAGGTTCGTGAAAGTATGAGATTGGCCTAACGTTACACGTCCTCAACGAGATGTCTGGAAGACCACAGATTCATCCTTACTAGTATAAGCCTCATTGACCCCGTAAGTCGAGAATTGTGTTTCTTTTGAAAGAAAAAGGGTAAGCCTTGGCGTAACCTGAACGCAGTCTGTCGGTTAGGTATTTAGCCTAACGTTTGTGAGTACTTAGGGAAGGTGACGGAGAAGAAAGGGAAAGCCTCATGAAAAATGCTTTTTACATTACTTCATGATACTTATGACCGAATTATCATCTGGATAACAGTATTAATGTAAGTACTGAAGTTTTATTTCAATATCTCACCGTCTCCATCAAGAGCCTGATCAATCCGAGAAGGTCTCAGTTTCCTTGGTCTGGACTTCCTGAATAGAAAGACGATCAGGAACGAGGGAGGGAAAACTATGAGATTTGTCATCATCCCCACGCCAATCTGCAAAAAAAGTATGGGTATATTTTCTATGGTCTCAGAGGAATCTCTGGAATTCGCTCTCAGATCTGATGACGCCAACTAATATGTTGCGCTCATTCCATTTTAAAGCCCATACACTATAGAGGCATCAGTGACTTTGCACAGGACACCCATTACAAGTGGAACATGAAGATTGAGTATGAATGGCATTGGTGGTCCCTAAGCAGCGGTTGCCTAATTCTTACTCTAAAATCTCATTTAACTCTGTCCAGGTTTGTGACTGGATGCAGCTCTAACCTGCGCCGTAGACAAGATGAAAGGTCCAAAGCGAAGGGCGTTGCTGGTGGGATGCTGTGGCACGGTGCCATACCACATGGCATTGGTCAACATAGACAGATAGAGGAATGCCATGCAGCAGGAGACACGTTGGACCCGAGTGAAACGGCTTCGTGGAGGCCTCATGAAAACTGAGAACCATAGATGCTCGTCGTACAGGTTCCGTTGAGAATGCGTGTTGAACAGGAAATTCAGGTCTTTCTTTTGCTCCAGTCCTGCGACCGGCAAAAGCCGATCCACCTGAAACAGGGAAGAAATATTAACAAGCTATTTCTAAGGAGCTGAACTCGTGCTAAAGGGTCTTCTCGTAAACAGACGCTAGTCTAATGATGCAGACCTTGTGATACACCTCATAAGCGACATGAAACTGTAATGCTTCTTCTGGAATCTCATTTTCAAATTACAGATTGATAGGTGAGAAATTTGCGTAAAACTGGACTTCTTTTAGCAGAGAGTAGAATAATATTTAGAACGCGAAGATTATCTCATTAGGGAGGGTTCTTTGTCGCGCACTGAAATCGTTTTTTGTCATCCAAATACTGTACTGTACAGTATACTAGCGTCCCAAAGAAACGTTGCATGGTAATTTAGGGCTCGCCCACGTATCAGGATTTGTGATGGCTTTATATCTGCCTTTTGCTAAACGAGCCAACACCGCCTGAATAGTGTTAGCGTGTACTCTCCAGTCTTTGATCGCAATGGCTAACGTATGGAGAACCATTCCACACATGAACAAAGATGATTCCACGCAAGTTCTCACTTCCACTCGCCGTCGTGGCAAGATCTAAGCTGCTCATTTTACAACTTCAGTATATACTTCACATGAGAGTATTAATTTTTTTTTCGGAAAAACAGTGCTTGGTATTCATGGAAAAGACCGGATTTTTTATAAAGTCGTTGTAGAACTTCAGAATTGGGTAACTTTACAAACAATCATAATTCAAGCTATTTTCCTGCGAGAAAACATGAAGAGAGGAACAAAATGAATGCGAAGAAAGGTTGGGTGACGTACTTTGAACAATTGCAAAAAATGGGTCAAAACTATTGGGACCGAAGAAGACAAGATTACTTCCTTCTCTGGCGAGAAACGATTCCTTTAGTTTCGGTTTTCCTTTCACTGTCAGCAGAAATTAAGTTTCACGTTCTGTCCCCTTCCGCGGAATTTTTCATTTCAGTCTCTCTATGAAGCCTTGATTTATACACATTCTGTATACGTCGAAAGGAACTTTAGGGAAAGCGCTCAAGAAAGAATGATGACTCACTTGGCCATCATCCTCCTCAACTGCAAGCCATCTGTTGGCAATGAACTCGTACTTCTCTCCCGTTTGGATATCTTTCACTATGACAAAATTCAGGAACCAAGATTGACGAGTTCCAATTCCAGAATTGTCGTGCCAAATTCGCATGTAGTTCAGAGGACCTAGAGGTCTACGAGGAAGACAGAGTTCCAAGATCTTGCAGTAGATACAGACCCTTAAAAAAAAATCGGTAATCGTCTTTATGAAGAAAATGACGTTCATACCGGGGAGTGGTCATGACAAAGGCATCCACTGCTCCCTTGCGGAATATTTGGCGCTTTGGTCTCCCGAATGTCCTCACCTTGCTCTCTCCTTCCTCTCCACCCATAATGAACTGTGTCATTGAAAGTTCATGGCAATGGTTTTAAAAGCATAATTCCATATAGGATGCTTAAAATTTCATTTCTATTGTGAATTAAATACATGCCTCACCACCAAAACCGCGAACTCACTCGTTAGTGAAGTTTCATAATGTGCTTCTGAAGAATGTCAAGGGCATGCGATTTCCATTCGGCTCTTCTAAATCCCCTCAACCTTTAAGCCGCACCCTCATGCTTTTCATGTTATTGTTAAGTTTATACCAGTAATTTTTTTTTTACCTCACAATTGGGGGTGAAATTCTTCGCCGGTTTCATAAAAGGGATCAGAAATTTCCACAATGTATTAGTGCAGCTCACAATGGAGACATACCAGCATTGAAAACCCCACAATTCTCCTTTATTTTGCGAAAAGAACGGCGTAAAAGAGGTTCGAATGCAATCTATATTTGTTCGAACTGTCTGTTGGAATACATTTGTGACAGTGTGGAGAGAAAGGAGACCTAAGTAAATTCATCTAATTGTTCGAAATTTAGGCACGCAGTCAAAATATTATTTCTGGATCTATAGCATTTTCGACTCCACATGCATACACAAAAGCTTACAACTGTTTGGGGGAAATTCGAAACCTAGCATGTTTGCTGCCTTGGGTGTGGCAAATCTGCCTTAATGGCATTGTGAGGTGTTTTCATGCCTTTTCTATATGCCTTCTTTTTCAGGCTCAAAGAGACAATTCATCTAGTGGCATTTTGAATCCAATAATTCCTTCAGACGTCCTCATAAAATACCGTACATTACACATCCAATAGAAGCTAAGTTCCGCAGGCATACTCATTCTCACGCAAACTCACAGAAACGACGGAATCGGTGGCCGCACACGTCCTGTCGCCAGTAGACACGAGGATCTCATAGACGTATTTGTCTCGTGGGTTGTTGTCCACCAACGGCAAAGCTCCAACCTTTGGGAATAGGTACTCTTATCCATCCTTATGGAAAATTTATATTGGATTTAATGGGAATATTATGGTATTCCCATGGAATCTATAACAATCCCATGGGATTCCAATGGGAATTTCATAGGTTAATTGGAGTACGATCCCCAACCGATTCAAAATGAACCGATGACTTCCAATAACCTTCCGTAGTGATTTTTCTAGTTTCCATGGAGACATCCCATGATTCCAATTTGTTCCCATCATAATTTTGAAGGAATCCACTTCTTCCCTATGATGATCCCATTGGATCTGAGGAATGTATGGATTCCTTTGAGATAAAATGTTACATCTTTAAGATGAATTGGTGAATTTCAAATGCCTATTAAATATCGAGTGACAGACTAACAGACTAATTCTAACCACATTCTAGAGATGATGAAAGGCTGAAACTTGGTACACGAATACCTGTTAGATCACTGACTCCGGAAAGATTCCGACTTTGGGGGTACATGCCCTGGGGGCATATTTTTGGGCCACTGATTTCGTAAACTTAGGCCCAGCCAACAGAAGGACGTTTAGGCCTATGCCATTCTCGTAGATACCCTTCCTTCAATGAAACTGGAACTTGAATAGCTGCTACTTTTCCGATTCCAGAGAAAGTCTGACTTTGAAAGTCCTACTTTGGAGGTACTTGCCTTGGGGGCACATTCCCGGGGGTAGGGAAGGGGGCTGATTTCATAGGCTTAGGCCTAATCCATGGATGGATGCTTTGGCTTACACCTCCCTCCTACTTTCTTCCTTCAATGATACGGAACATGGACAGTTGTTGGGTTGCAGGCTACAGGAAAACTTCGACTCTGGAGGTACACACCCTAGGGGCACATTTCGAGGGGATTGATTTAGTGGAGTGGAGGACACCCTCAAGCCCTGTCCATAGGAGGTGGCAAAGCAGGAGAGTAGGTACTACCAGCAGAAGCTCTTGTCTATTCTCAATGTCAAACTTATTTTCAATAGTTGCTGATAAATTTCTTCAGCCCAACAAATTTTGGTGAAATTTGAAGTATCAGTCCGAAACATACTCATACATGCAATGTGAAAGTTTCGAGAATATGTCTCTATTGGGAGGGAAGATATTTAGGCTGAAAGTCGTTGGTCTTTTTTTGCCATACCTTGTATGCGCAGATGTCTCTGGAGAGGCCTTCGCTGCCTCGAGAGATACAAGTGCCTCCGCCGTCTTGGAACTGGAGTCGCAAGAGCGAGTGGATAGCCCGATGGGGGTGGGTGCCGGCGTGGGGTCCCCCCGAGCATGGGTCCGGGACCAATTGGCTCTTTCGCCCTCCCCTTCTATGGGCCTCTTATCAACTCTCTCGTGCTGCTCCAATCTTAAGATGGCGGGGTGCCTGGAGAGACTCGTCGCCCCCCTCGGTAGGAGGGGCCCCACATTATGTACTCCCTATGGTGACGCCTGACTGCCAGAGTTCTGCGAGGCCATTTCTGCATCTTCGTAAAGGAGGTGAAGCTTCCCCCCCCCCTCAAACAGATTCTATGTCCTTTCAGAAGTTAGGCTTATGCATCATTTTCTGCTGATATTGGTTCTCTTTTTCTTCCTGACGTTATGACCATGCCTTTCTATTTTTAACACTAGGCCAAGATCCATTATAACCTAATGTTATGTGTATGTTAGTCAACATTACGCATCACCCTATCCATAGTTTATTGTATTAAATTCTCATTCCTTTATCCCAACCCAATTGAAATTAATTGAAATTAGGAATAATGGAATAATTAGTTGAAATGCCCTATAGGCATTTTGTGAAATGTTCACAGGCATGTGGGTCATGTAGGAATTCCATTTAAAAAAAAACATTGAATTCTTGTGGGAATCCCATGTATTTTTTTTTATGGAAATCCCATCGGAATTTTCCATAAGGGCAAGCAATGAATTTCCGCCGTCCTTCCACCATTATTTTTATTGCTAATGATTGGAACTCATTATAGATGAACAATCATAAATGCATGAGAGAGAACTTCCCCCACCATAGGGCCACGCAACGAAACGTAAACTCCAGGAAAATTTATATTGTCAAAGAATTCCCAATTTTTTCTTGAAATCAGCTTCCTGTTCAATAGCTAACCTATCAGGGGCTTTTCTTCTCTCTAATAAATTCTTGTGTAAGATTACAAGAGAACATTCCTTACGACGATAAGGTAATTTTACTTCCAGTTGCTTTAATTTGCAAGTCAACATCTCTCGAAAGTTATCCCAATTCACAGAACCACTTTTAAGAATAAATTGAACAAATAAACAGTTATTCCCATTTATATTGCAATATATGAAGATCAATAGGCGCGATAGCACTTATTCCCATTCTTCACCCCTTCCCGTCACAAAGTTCAACCTCGTATTCCTCTCAGGAACCAAGAGGAACGAATTCGGCGTGCTTCTTTCCCTCTTGACACAGAATCGTTTCGGCAAATTTTGAAGCATTCCCTGGGATTGCGGGGAACACCGATTCTCGCTTTTTGAAGATGCGAATATAATTTCTGTGGGTTTTTTTTCTCTTCCCCCCCCCTCTCTCTCTCTCTCTCTCTCCCGGGGTAGTCCCCTCCCCTTGAAAAGTATTCCAATCAAAAAGTTTTTGGAATAGTATTCCACCAAAAGAAAGATACTGACCTGTAGATCACGTAAAGTGCCCCCTTCGTTGTTTGCGATGCATCAATTCGCCATTTATAATTTTAAAAATTAATTGTCGTTCAGTTAGGCTAAGCGTGCGGGCTCCTGTTATGTTCCCCGGTGTTGCCGGATGCTGGACTGGAGTTATGTCGAGTTCATGACTGCTTCAGCCTTTGCATTGTTGCTGGGAACTCTTTTTTTTAGTGTATGAGATATTGTTGTGCTGAGTTCATGAGATGGGCTGAGATTGGAGCGGTGGTCAGCAGTGGCATGTGATGGGGTGTGAGATAACGTGCACGGACATCCCCGAATGAACAGGACGAAATCCAATATGCATTTCAATCCCGGAACTTTCATACCTCGTCGAGATGGTTCAAGGAACTCAAGGGAGGCCTTACGTAACACGTCCAATTTGAAATGGTTCGTGAAAGATGGAATTGGTCTGTAATCGACCTAACGTTATACGTCCTCACCGAGATGTCTCCAAGAGCCAGGGACTAACCGTAAGTCGAGGGTTGAGATTCTTCTTGACGGAAAAAAGTACACCTAGGCCTGACCTGAAGACAGCACGTGGGTTAGACCCCAGGTCAGGTTGGGTCGAAAGCGAATAATGGCGGTTCTAGCCATAGGGCAAATGACGTCACTGGTATACACCAGTCCAGTCTCGCCATTGGTTTTCCTCCGATGTAATGATATTATTTGAAGCGTAATGTCCACATTTCGTAATCAATGACTGATTTTAAAAATATCCCGAATGGGTATGGAAATGGCATCGAATGGGAAAGAGGCGGGGAGGATTCCGTACTGAAAAGTTTGGGGGGGGGGTGCGACTGCAGTGAGAATATATTATTATTTACGGAAACTGTTAACATGTGTCATTTGCCCTTTTAAAATGGCAATGAAAATATACGTTCATTATCAGACTTCCTCGTTCTGTGTTGCTGAATCCCCAAATCAGAGGAAGAGAACTTGTTTGTCATGATCATGGCAAATCACGTGATTTTCACGAACACCATGAAGATATTCCTTCTCGCACACTTCAACGAAAGACTTCCATTTCTTTCTCACCTTCTTGCCCTTGCTGAGCAACTCAGAATTTATGAAGAGAATCCAGGTGAACAGCCGCGTTCTTACAGATATTCGGGATACTCGATGGTTGACTTGGAATTTAGATTGAATCATCTCGGCGAAAGATGACAATCGACCCCAAAGGGTTGTTTTGGGATCCCTCCCTCAGTTTACTTCAGGAATTTCATTTTCCGCGCGTTTCCACCACATCACTTAGGCCTTTCACAACCCAGTTCCTTTGAAACGATGAAACGAACGTTACTCTCCGTCGACTCCAAAGTCATCAGATGTTCTTGTAGGCGGCGACTGCACGTAGGACCGGCGTCTGCGAATGCTATGA